CATAACAAGCTGTTGGTGAAATGCAGTCATACAACGGTAGAATCACAAGTAGTTAATGTTGTTGGTGTACGTTTGCTCTTTAAATCTAGTTTGACAATGCAAAGAATTGATGAAAACAGAACTCAGTATTGGGTTAAACTTTATTTAGTTTCACTACACAGCACTATTCCTAGTAGCATTCAGCGTTCAGTTTTCAGGCACCAGCTCTGGAAACTGCTTATAATGTCGAGCTTTGCCTGGCAGAATATCCCTCAATCCAGTCTGCCAGGAAATAATTTCCTGATCCACCCTTAAACCACACTTTGGCATATTTCACTGCAGCAAAAAGAGAGTAGAGAAACTTTACCACAAGTTTTCTCATCATATGCATTTTAAATGTGATTCCAATGATCTTTTTACCATCAGAAAATGTGGCCATCAAATGTGTGCTGTAGCTGTAACCCCCTGTCTGGTGTCACAGATTCATTTTCAGCTGCCAAAACCATTAAGCATACAATGTGAGCTTGGAAAATAACTTTTCAGCTACCAGAAAAGTGCCAAGGCCTGCGTATTTTGTGCCACATTGTAAGTGCTTTCTATGAGTCACTTGGATCAACTATCATTTCAGTATTCTTGAGTGTTTACTTACAGATACAAACAGTGATGAGGAATGCGATGTATGTGACCATCTCCCTCAGTACGTTCCTGAGGTACCGCTCTCGACTGCTGTCACTGTCCTCCATCAGCTCTGTGCCCCACAGAACTGCAAAGAAAAAGACAGCAATTCAAATGGCAGTCAGCATGTGTACAATAGATATTATTACATAAATAATGCAGTAAAAATATCTGTATGTTTCTCCCTTAGACTAAGCTATTGAGTTAGAAAGAGCAAAATCCCTACACTAGGGGTTTTGAAAAATATTCATTTTCGAGCAAAGACATAGAACAATCTCTTCTTTAGTGACTATACAAAAAGTAATTTAGCCTGGACTTTGAGTGCTTTTCTTAATATGATTATTTTTCTTACATAGTAGCATTGAAACTTTAGTAGATGTCTGCTATAAGGGCATTGATAACATTAGTGGGGAGGGTGACACTCAATACAAATGTCTTGTTTATATTGTTAGTATGGGGAATTACTACTTCAAATCACTGAAATACCTCTGTTTGACGTCATTGTGCAGTGAAAAAAGCTTGATGGTGTACGTAAACATTATCATGGTTTTACTAATCTGTAGCTAGATAATTGCTGAACTATTCTAGGAAGTTTACAAAGAGCAGTGGTGTAAAGTAACTCAGTGTAGGTGTAACTACAATTTAGAGTGTAGTGTACTTTTTCTCTCTTTGCAGAATTGGCCTAATGATTTGAAATATAACCAACACTTCAATAAGACTTTAGTTACACCTGGAGTAAATTCACCATCTACCCTGCAATATACAAAGTCAATGCAAGTAGATGCACCTTTACAAGCTGTGATAACACTTTAATGCAACAATATTTCTAATCAAAAACATATAATATATATCATTCTGAAATGGGTCAATCTGCATATTGAGTACTTTTACTGTATGCAAATGTCAATACTGGACGTTTACTTGTAACAGAGTATTCCTACACTCTTCTACTTCATTCTACTTTATAACAAGATCTGAGTACTTCTTCCACCTCTGACAAAGTGAGTGACTAACTTCTGATCTTTTGCAGTATCTGCTTCAAATAACCGTGGTGGAGATGCCTGTCCTGCTGCCGGGCATCCACAGTCGGGGTCGGGTAGAGTCCTCCGCGGGGGATGTGGGTGCTGCTGCCCGCTCCGGGGAAGCTGCCCAGGCCGCTGCTGCAGCTGCTGCTGGAGGCCGTGGACACCGACCTCCTCCCGGGACTCGCTGGAGGCCAGTCGGCTGCCATGATCTCCTCTTCGGGCTCAAACCCCGGGTTGTCGCGGCTCCAGGCTTGTCTGGACGGGGGGGACGGGGTGCCTACGACTCCCCCGAGACCCAGGTCTTGATGCTGGATGTTCTCCATCTCTATCCCCTCGCCTGAGTCTAGTTTGTGCGGCACCTTGGCAGTCTGGCTCTGCGGCAGCTGCTGTGGTCTGACTCGGGATGAACTCATGGTCCAGTTAGCTATTTGTTTTCTATCTACTGCGGGGCATCTGCAAAAGTTACGCTAAACACTGTAGAATGTTATAACGGCTCAAGCATTTCGGCTAACCGTACCACCTAAAAACGCCTAAAAACAACAAATCTGATTAGAAAAGTGTGTCCAATAACTCCCTAAATAACTACATTAAAGTTACACGGTGTTTACAAATCAAAATCAAGACGTTTTAATAGCGGTATCATGCTCCGTATATAGCTTGTGTTCATGTAGTAAGTTAGTTTTCACTCTCAACAAACCGTTAAGAAAACTTTCCGATCTTCAATTCCGTCTCAAAAAACGATGTCCTCCTTAATACAGCGATGCCTTTAATGCGTTTAAAGTTGTTCCCTAATAAGCTATTTAAGTTGTTGCTAATAAGCTATTTACATGACACTGGTGACTGCATTAAGATGCCGTGTTTATGTGGAAGAAGAAAGACACTTTTCTTGCCCCAGGACAGCCATCTTGTTCCTGAACTGTTCCCCTAAAAAAACTCATTCCCATTTGTCCGGGACTCAGATTACATTAGAAGTCATGGCGTCGCAGAAAAGGATGGAAAACACCTCTGTGGAAAACATTTTTTATTTTATTACATATGCTTTTGCTCCATTTATAGTGTTTTCTTAAATTAACTGTTTTAATGTTCACTTTATAAAGAGATTTGTTTGTTTTTGTTGATTTGTAAAGATCAGAATGCAGCTTCCCATCGTTACAGTGTTGACATAGTATATTTTTGTTATAGTTTTTAACACTTTGACAACAAATTAGCCTTTGATTTATTTTTTTAAATATGTTACCGTATTTAGATGAATATAGACGTCAGTGTTACATAATATCTGTATGTGTTTGGGTCAGCGGTTGCCATGACAACACAACAGATGGGGAAATTGAAACTGTTTAAAAAGTAATTCAAAAGGTTGCCCAGGTGTTTGAGATATAAAACCACAAATTCCTAGTTAGCTTGGTGTTCAAATTGTCCATTTCTTTAGAGTAACAAAGCAAGGGGCTGTTAGAGTTTTCTTTCTGAATAAATCATTAATGCTGCAGGTTATTTGCTTGTAACTTGACATTAAAAGCAAATAGCCCATAGAAAGAGGGAGTCTGATTCGCTAACTATAATGTGTAGAAAAGGAAGGTCACAACCACCTGTAAACAATCTTTAAATTAAGCAGTTTCTATAGATTTCTATAAACCCACCCTCAAAGTGTAAATTACCTTTAGTTATTTAAAGTGCTATCAAAGATAACCTTGTTCACAGAGAACACTGTTTTCCCCCATAATTTCACTCTTCAGAGCATCAAAAACATAAACTGACATAGGCTTATTTTATATTTCTCCAAATGTCATTGTTTGTAATTGTATTTCATTGGAAGTGGTGATAATACTTTACTTTGTTACCAAACTGAAGCATGAATCGTCCTGTTGACCCAAAGTATCAGACACAACACTTGTTTGACCACTTGGTGGCACTAAACATCCAGACTTGTAAAAGCTTGAATGATTATAAATTACTACCTCATGAGCTATGCCTCCAAGTTGTTAAATGTACTATCCATCAAAGCACAATTCTTGTTTGTCACAAATGTTTGGCATATCAAACAAAGCAATTGGGCAGCAGGTGATGCTTCATGGCTGACCCCCAACTGTGACTGGCTGTATATGTTATAGAATATAGAAGACTGATAACTGTTATTCAGATTAATTATTTTCATTTGATGCATTTTCAGACTTAAAGCAGATCCAATTAATGAGTCATATTCATTGTTTTGAGGGACAGTTTGAGAAAGAAAGGTTATTTTTCTCTTTATGAATAACTAATGTCTGACATTCACTCAAACAACAAGTCTCGGCAGCTGCAATGATCATTAATGAGGTGACATAAGGTCCTATTTTCTTTAATTGGGTACAGCTTGTCCTTCTTTCACCAGTACCACTCTTTGCATTTATGTTTTGATACTGTTTTACTCCAACTTTTTTTCTGAGTAAAAGATTGCAGTCTTTACTCTGTGTACATATATATACATAAGCTTATGTGAAAGCAATAAAAGGCCAGTAGTTTAATTTAGTTAAATATTTTAAAGAATTTCCCAAATTGGGATTAATAAAGTATCTATCTATCTATCTATCCATCCATCCATCCATCCATCCATCCATCCATCCACCTACCCACCTACCTACCTACCCACCCACCTACCCACCTACCCACCTACCCACCTACCCACCTACCCACCTACCCACCTACCCACCTACCCACCTACCCACCTACCCACCTACCTACCTACCTACCTACCTACCTACCTACCTACCTACCTACCTACCTACCTACCTACCTACCTACCTACCTACCTACCTACCTACCTACCTTATCTAATCCATCTATCTTATCTATCTATCTATCTAAATCACTTATACAATGTTCATGTTACAAAAGCGAGCGAGTTATGAAATTGGAAATTGATCTGATTATTACGAACCAACCAACCAACTGTGATTGTGATCTGAAACTGGACGTTTAATGTGCAAAGTAAAACCATTGTATGAATGTAGGGGAATATGTTCAGATTTATTTTAATTTCCCTTGAATTGAATGCCCTTTTTTCATTTTATTTTGTATGTACATTCTTCTTGTAAATATGTTAAAACCAAATAAATATACCACAACAACTACTACTACTTGGCATTCTTCAAACAATAAACACGAGTGTCAATGATGATCAATTAGCCTTTTACTAGAGTCAAGTGTTTTCTGGGGACAGCGTTACAACGTTTTGGGGGCGGGGCCATTTGTTTGACGTCATAATTTATGTTGCCTAGTGTAAACAGTCCATTGGCTGATTCTTTGTGATGGGGGTTCCCTGCCCCGGATTGCAGGGGTAAAACAATAAATACAACCTATCACTTTAAATCTTCAATCTCTGGTACAGCAGAGATCATAAACTGTTAGGTAGTCAAACGAGGGGAAATATCATTATACACACCTGGGATATTCCAGAACAGTGTACAGCTGGTCACTCGTAGATATTTATTACCAATAATTCTGTCTACATAGATAGGTCTTTCATAAGGTAAGTTAGCCATCCTCCAAGCTAAGCTATGAGACCGCTGTCAGGCTACCAGCTAATGTTAGCTGCATTGTCTGGTCGAAACCACGACTGCTCGCCAGACCGGTAGTACTCATTTAAAGTTGTCAACTAGAGGTGTCGCCACTGTATACATAGCTCACCTTAGCTATTTGGCTATGAGTGTCAGTTAAATTAGTCAAATTTGCCTTCCTTTGTTTTCTAGCATTAGCCCTCAAGTTGTTTCATTGATAATGGTTCAGTTTTGAGTGTAGGGTAATTTATTAAAAGCTTTGAGTAACTCTGAATTACCTATGGGTTCTACTGTTTTTGATGCAATAAGATATACGTTTGTCGGTTTTGGTCAATTTGCCTCATTGGCATAACATTGACATGCTTTTTTGGTGCACCACAATGGCTAACATCACCTCATCGTTATGAAGGCTTCATTTTCCCTCTCTTGCAATTAGCGTCCGACTTGTGTGTGTGGAAGTGTCATCAAAGTAACATCTTGACAGTTGTGGACTTTTCTGTGCAAACAGACAATAACCATGTGGTTCTAGCAATGTGGTGCTCCGGCAAAGTGACAGCCGGATGAAGGAAAAACGACGACGCCACAAGTTAGCTTATGCTAATGCTGGCTAACTAGCATGTCGCAAGCTTGCAGTTGCTGTTCTGTGTACTAGGTTAGCGTTAGCATTTCAAGATTACAGCCAAGAGGCCGGTAGTTCAGATTATATATTCATTCCTATATTTCATAGTCTAGCTGACGTTTGTCTTGCTGTCAATGTGGGTAAATAATTTCTATGACGGGGATGTACATTATACATCTGTAATGTCAAAGGGCTGATTAAAATGCGACATGTGATAAATAGTTGTTAGCATAGACATGAAAAGGCCTAATTTATACAGTATGCCTAGCTACAAAGGGCTGCACACATGTGTGTAACACCTATGTGATGGATACTTTTTATATGTAGGATTTTAATTTGAGTTCAATTCGATTCGTTCTCCGTTTCCAAACTTTAACACCTGCATTAGTCTCCTTATTCTCCGATTACAGCCGGTTTCCCTCTTTGTCTCATTGCATGAAAGTGATGGCGCAGTTGTGTGTTAGCAGTTGTGTTAGCCAGGCAGCTAGCTAAACAGTCAGCTGTCTTGCGTCTGCTAAATGTGATTGATGTGGGTCGGATGAACGGTGGGCCTAATAAGACAAAGAACCTCGTTCTGTTTAAAAGGAGACGTGAAACACCTCTCGTACTTCATGTTCTGGCTGCACAAACATCGATGTTGTTTATCAGCAAACGTTCACGAGTACTCGTATGAACTTCCTTAAAATGGCCTGAAGTCAAAAGCTTTATGTCCATGTGTTTATCTACTTCATTCGGTTCGTTTGGTGCGTCCAACCAAAAACTAATGCAGTCTTATACTTAAGCTCTGAAACAAATCCAACCTTTTATGAAGCTCAATTGTTCCAACTGGTTTGGAAAAAGTGCAGAGGATGACATGATGCAATACAATTAACCAGCACCATACACTACAGCCTGCAAAGTGACCTTAAAGTGCAGTCCACACCTCTTGAACAAATGCTAAATGCATAGAATAATAAATCAATAACCTTCAGAAATGTAGGGTTTCTAACAGGACTGTATTTATTTTTTTCTTCAAATAATGTGCATTTATAAAATGTCAACCAAGTGTATGTCTGTGTTTAAGGTTCTTGATGGCGGTATAACAATTAATCCCTTGTCTATCTTCTGTTTCAGCATTTAATATTGTTTACCAAAGAAATGGTGATGGAGAAGCCAAGTCCCCTGCTTGTAGGGCGGGAGTTTGTGAGGCAGTATTACACACTGTTAAATAAGGCACCAGACTTCCTGCACAGGTAATGACCCAAATAAGTTGCATGGCACTAACTCTGTAGGTGTTTGCATTGCTGTTTAACTGTCATATATCTGTGTCATTAGGTTTTATGGGAGGAATTCTTCCTATGTTCATGGAGGACTTGACCCAAGTGGGAAGCTTGCAGAAGCAGTGTACGGTCAAGCGGTAAGTGCTATGACCAAGTAATGAAGATTCACAATAAAAATGCTGTCTAGTAGGTGTCTTGTATAGAATTAACAAATAACAGTGATACAATTAGTATTTTTTAAATGTAGATCATGGCACTCAGTAAATAGTTAATTTAAGGATAGAATAATTGCTGGTGAAAACAATAGTGACATGAGTCTGACCAAAAGGCAGTTTGGTGTAAAGATTTGTTATTACTTGCTATCAAGGATGTGCTGAATAATGAAAGTGAATGTAAACGGCACACCGACTGACCTCAGAACATTGCTAACTGGCAAATCATCAATATGAATGATATTCTATGATCTAATGCAATGTTATTTTTACATATGTATCCTCCCTTTCCCCAAATTAATTTGTCTTTTTGTCAATTTGTCTGTGCAACTCTTAGGAAATCCACAAGAAGGTCATGTCCCTGCAGTTCAGTGAGTGCCACACAAAGATCAGGCATGTGGATGCTCATGCCACACTGAGTGACGGCGTGGTGGTGCAAGTCCTTGGAGAACTGTCCAACAATGGTCAACCCATGAGGAAGTTCATGCAAACTTTCGTGCTTGCTCCAGAGGTGATTCCCTCTGCTTCTGAGTACTGTTGCCATACATATTTGAGAGTTGAGTGAGAATTAAAAAATAATTATTTCCCAAGATGTATTGCAAGTGCATTGTTCTAGCATCATGCCATGTGTGTAAAAATCAAATATGAGACTGATCAGCTGGTCACCGTCAGTGCATCTTTAGCTCAAATAGTTTTTAGTTCAGTTACTTTTTCTAAACTGAAATAAGTCACAAAAAGTAAAAAAATGTAAAGTCTGGTTTCACAGTCTGGCAACAATAACATCTAATTGGTTCAGTTTAAAGAAAATCCCTCTTAATGATTTAGAAATTCTCACTCTAGGGTTCAGTGGCCAACAAGTTCTACGTCCACAATGACATCTTCCGTTACGAGGATGAGGTTTTTGGAGACTCTGAAGCGGAGCTTGATGAAGGTAAGTTGTTCACAAATATCCCAAACAGACCGGGTTTGTTAAATAAAAAAATGAATGTTTTCATGGTTTATCATGAGCAACTAAAGCAAATCATTTCAAAATTGTTTTGTATTCTCTCACTTAGAATCAGAGGAGGAAGTTGAAGAGGAGCCGGAGGAGAGGCAGCCGTCCCCTGAGCCACTTCAAGAAAGCAGCACCACCTACTACGAACCTCACCCTGTCACGTATGTCAGAGCTTCAGCTATCTCATAATATATATTAGGATGTTTTACCCTTAAAATATACATCAAGCATTTAGCTTTTTATACTTATTTTACCTGTGGAAGTGACTTCATGTTGATTTGTGCTCTGTAGTAATGGAGTAGAGGAGCTCATGGAGGAGCCGGCTCCAGAGCCCGAACCAGAGCCGGAACCAGAGCCCAAGGTAGAAGAAGTCAAGCCTGAAGTCGATGAGAAGGTTTTGGAAGAGATGGAGGAGAAAGCCCCGTCACCGGCCCCTGTGGAGTCTCCACCAAACACACAGGAGCCTCCCAAGGTGAGCCTGATGTGTGGATAGAGCAACACCTGTTTATTTCTCTCACACAAACACATTCTCTTCCTGCCCTTGAAAATAAAGTATTAAGAACAAATTTGACCTTTTTATGAAAGTAACACCAGCGAGACAGTATATCCAACAACTAACTGACCACTAGGGATTGGTATCGGTAAGGTTTTAACCTACTACTTTTACTTCTTATCGATCCGGTCTTTTAACTGTACTCTTATCGGTTCTTTTGGAGAAAAAAACAAGGTAAACTCACTAAACAAATTGTGAACAAAATTAACATTGCTTTTTATTTAAATTAAATAAATAATATTTCACATCAAAAGAAACAACAATGTTTTATCAAATCGTATTAAATAATCTGATGACAGAATTGTAGGCTACCGATAACGTCGGAGCTTAACGGTACCACGGTCTTTAATAATTCAACCCCGGGGCCCGTTTAATACCGGGGCTCGCTACCCATCCCTACTGACCACAATGTCAGCCCTGCTGATATCTTAAACCACCAAACAAAGGTTGCTGTAGCTTATCTCCCAATCCAACAGAGATTTCAATGAAGACATTAACATACCCACCAAAGTTTAAAGTAAGGTGTTGATTGTTAATTATTGTTAACAATGCATTACTGCTTCTTTCACAGGCTTTCTCATGGGCCTCTGTGACCAGTAAAAACCTGCCACCCAGCGGCACCCTAACGTCCTCTGGAATGTCCCCCCATGTTGTCAAAGGTCCAAGCTCACAGGTAAACATCTATCATGAATTTGACTAATAAAGTGAACTATCAGAGCAGATGTGAAGCAGACAGGGTGTCCGCGGGGTCTTAAAAAGTATTAAAAGTTGATAAATTAAAAAAAAAGTATTAAACGGCATTTTGTAGCTTGTTTTCAATAAGTATATCAATTGTCCAAAGAGGTTGTATTCTACAGTCTGCCTGAATGTAATCATTGCGTAGGTGTGCAGTGTGATTCTGTGTAGTTTATTTATGGCATCCCGTTGGATTTGACGTCATCTGAACAGGACATCGCGCGCTCACTGCTTGATAGCGCGCGAAGGTCCGTTTACGCCGGTTGTTAAAAGATAAAGAGGAAGGACAATCAATACTGTATATAGTAAATGTGTCGCCAATGTAACCGGTTAAAACTCGAAGTGGCGGTGAGGTCTTAAAATGTATGGAAAGGGTCTTAAAAAGTATTCAATTTGACTTCAGGATTCCTGCATATACCCTGAGCAGAGCAATATTTCACAACTATACAAGTCTACCACAACGGGTATTTCAATCATACATTTAATTGATGACTACATGGTGGTTATAAGCAGCATAGGGTGCATTTTTGTGCAATACTTTTCCGATTGTGTGGAGTTTAGGAACATTGGGGTTTGCATTACATAAGGAAATTCACTGTACAAAGGTACCACTTCTCACCTGTATATTTGAGACCATTATGCAATACAAATGATTTATTTCACAACCAAATTGCGTGGATAAAAATGTCCTCGGAGAAGAGTTATATTCCTAACTATAATTACTCAAAGCATGTACAAAAGCAGCAAAGTGACTTAAGACTAGAACACATAACCAGCTGAGGCAAGTGGACCCAATCCGTTTCTTTGAAGCAATTATGAAAGGGATTTCTGGTTGATTTATTATTTTTTGTGTGACACCCCTCCCCCTACAGCCCAGAGTTGATGCAAAGACGGAGACGCAGACGGCACCCATCCGACCGAGAGACCAGCGCACACGTGACAGACCGGCGTTCCCCCCGCGGGGTCCCAGGCCTGGTAATGCCAACACCTGTCCTGCAGAATAAGGCCTTCATCACGTCTTCTTTTTCAAGTGGTTAATTTGGTTTGTTCTCACACACGTCTCTCTCACTGTTAGATGGTGTTGCACCTTCGGAGTCACAAACGGGGAAACCACACTTGAGTTTTGTTAACAAAGGTAAACCCTTTGAGTCACATCTTCTAAAACCCTGTTTCTTGATTTGTCTTTGGGACTTTATTCAGTCAATGTTATCTTACACCTGGTATGGGTTTCACTTTGCTGATAATGTGATTTACTTTCTTACATTTAGATGCAGATGAGTCATGTTAGCTAATGTGTTTGTTTTGACCTGCAGGTAACCGGGGCGACTCTGAATCTGGCGACATGGACAACAGGCGAATTGTCCGTTACCCTGACAATAACCAGCTCTTTGTTGGCAACCTCCCACATGACATCGATGAGAGCGAGCTCAAAGACTTCTTCATGAGTATGTTTACTACACTACTACTGTCTCGGGCTCCAAAATTAATCAAAACCTCAATATGAATTATTGACATACTACAAGCTGTAGTCTACAGACTTAAGGCGAGACACGGCAGGCAAAAACATCGTTTTTCATGCACTGGTCAATTTTGAGATTTTGTGCTATTTTGATTCCATAACATGTTTTCTTTCAGGCTTTTGGAAGGAAAACATACAAAATACACATTTAGGTGTTTATTTTACTATAGTTTGTCTATTTGCGTCTGTAGATTTCTCCTAAATTCACCAAAAGTTAGCTTTCTAACGTAACATAAAGTACCGCGACCGCTGTTTGCACCATGTCATCAGAGATATCGTTGGCAAGCTCAGTCTCTCCTGCACAATCTCATCGGATCCAAATATGGTCATTTCCTTTGTATCAGCAACCAATCGTGAAAATACAAAGGGTCTTAAACCAAGAAACGAAATCTCATTGGCTGGTGTCAATTTCTGACAACGTGATTCGTTCAGATGCGTCACGTGGTGTGCGAAGACACTTCCTGGTTTAGCTTTCCGCTGGAAATTTAAAGGTGGGGTATGTAATTTATTTCAGAAACACTTTTTGTTATATTCCATGGAATGCTCTTAACATGCCGATAGCAATGAATATATTAAATGCTTTGACAATAAATACATTAAAAAAATTCATCTGTGGAAGCCGTAGCGCTGTAAAAAGCACGACCAATCATTTTAGCCGGCCCGGCTAAAATAACTGGATGGCCTAGCTGCCTGTCAGCCTTCCATCTGTGCACAAACTTATCTCGTGCCCTCATTGGTCATGTGCACGTTCGTGTGTGTTGGAGGAGGGGCTCTGTAAGGAAGTCTGAAGGAAGAGGCAGATTTTTTCCGGTTGTGTACTTTCAAATTTTAGCGCACTCAAGCTGGTTTCTCCAAAATTACATACCCCACCTTTAAATCTCAAAATGGCAAAAGAACAGCGAAAAAAACGTTCACGTTTCTTCACAGAGAAGACAACAACAATTGTCACTTGCACGAAGCAATGTTAGACAAAAAACAAATGACCCCGAACACGAAATACCTTCACGGAGTGCGTCGAGGCGCAAGCTGTCATCCAAAGAACAGGAGGGTTTAGGTAGCGCCTCACAGCAATCTTTAAAGATCGTTTTCTCAAAATGAGTTTTTTTCTCCTATTCTGAGTCCGACATTTCCACTTCAGTAGCACTTGCATACACCAAACCTTCCAGTTATATTCCTATCAATATTCTAAAGGCTTTTACAGAAGGGTTTGTTCATATATCATTCATAGCCGGAATTATATAACATTTTATACCTAAAAACATGGCGAAAATTGATATTTTAGGGCGTGATAGAGATATCCAAAATCCCTTAGATAAAAACATTAGATTATAATATGACTACAAAATTAAACAATAATTTTGAACCTGGCTTTATCCAATGTTCAGATTTGTGTTCCTGAAATGTGTTAAAATATGCGCATATTTAATGAGTATGGCTCATTTGCATATTTAAAACGTGTAATACAAAAAACAATTGTCCTAATGTAAGTAATTAACTGGAGACATTTCTAGCTGATATCTTTAAGTTAAAAAAATTACCCTATTCACCTGTAGTGTCTCGCCTTAACAAACCATTTTTTTTTATACAGATCTTCTCACACATGACCATTTTAACATATATTTTAATGAGAATATTGATGCAGTAATGACGAATCCTAAATTGTAATCACAATCTCATAAAAGTATTACAATTATTTTATTTTTCCCAAATGGTGCCGTTTGTCAAAATGTCATGAAAAACAAATCTTTACAATTGTAAATAAACTTTTTTTTTTTTTTTTTTTTTTTTTTGCAGCATACGGAAATGTCGTGGAGCTGCGGATAAACACCAAGGGCGTTGGTGGAAAACTTCCCAACTTTGGATTTGTGGTCTTTGACGACTCTGATCCCGTGCAAAGAATCCTGGGGGCCAAGGTAGAAGGGGCATGTATCACAATTTCATTACCTACTTTCATTCATCTGGTGGTGGTTTGGTGACACGACTAATCTATAATGGCACATGGTATGGGATAAACACACAGGAAATACCTTGATTTAAAAAAAGAAAATGAATAAATCATTCTTGTTTCTGTTATTTCTGTCACAAATCAAGCTGGTGAACAAATGTGTAAGGCTGTGTTCAGAACAATTGTGACATTCAGTTAAAGATAACAAATGGGCAGCTGAGTCGAGGTGTTGCTGCACCTGAGAAAAAATATAAATCAAGAAGTGCAGTCTGCAATCGCTAAGACAGAGTTTGATTCTTCTTTACTATCACTGTTGCAGCATTGCTGGAAACTCACTGGTCTCATTTAGTGTAGTGATGGGAATTACGGCTCTTCGAAGGGAGCCGGGTCTTATGGCTCCGTTCCTTTCCGAGAGCCGTTCAAAAGAGCCGTTTTTTTTTTAAGGGGGCAGGGTTAATGGGTCTATCTGCAAAATAATCACCAGGATAATGTCTCAGAAATCTACTTTTACTCACAGAAAATGTAAATTTGCTACATCTCTCAGCCAGCCAAACTACTACTCGAGCAGCATGCGTTATGCCATCATCTATGGCAAATGTGCATTCAGGAAAGCAAGTTCCTTTAAAGGCGAGTGGATTTATGGCAGGCAGTGAACCAACGATAAAAAAAACGGCTCTCACCAAGTAGGACTCGGTTCCCTTCGTTCGTACCAAAGAGCCGTTCAAAAGAATCGGATCGTTCGCGAACGTCACATCACTATCATTTACTGTTTCATCTTTGTACACAGAACATCCTAGACCAAAAAGCAGCGGTCAAAACTATAAAAAAGCCGATATCCAAGGCAACTTCCTTGTATATACCTAGGTGCTGGATATAGTCTTTGTCAGTACAAATAAGAGGTAAACGGAAGAAAGACATGAACAATTGAACATCTTAAATATGTTTTTCCATGTTTTTGTCGCAATTTTTGGGAAGTTTCTGTGTGGCTTAATGTGATGAATGATGGGACTGCATTTTTTCTTTTTAACTGGGGCATTCTAAATCTTGTCTGAACACAGCCTTAAATATGAAATGATTTCACTGGCAGGGACACAGAACTTGTCAGGTCAACCCAGTGCTTACATGGGGTCCGGGACAGATGGACAAACTTGTGTGTGCAAACCAGTGAATGACGTGGGTTCTGAAATTGATTGGGTGAAATATTCAGTCTTTTTTTTCTTTCATACTGACCGTGCTTATCTCCCTGCAGCCGATAATGTTCCGCGGTGAAGTGCGTCTGAATGTGGAGGAGAAAAAGACGAGGGCGGTGCGTGAAAGAGAAACTCGTGGAGGAGACGATCGTCGGGACATGAGGCGCAGCGACCGGGGCTCCGGAGGGTCAAGAGGCATCGTGGGGAGTGGGATGATGCGCGACGGAAGGGGACCCCCACCCCGAGGCGGCATGGCCCCCAAACCTGGCATGGGCTCCGGAAGAGGCTCCGGGGGCCAGGGCGAGGGCCGCTTCACCACCCAGCGCCGCTGAGAAGAGCACCACCCGCAGTGTGGAAGTAGTACCGCGTTCTTCATCTTCAACCGTTCTCTCGTTAAAGAAAAAGAAATCTTCATGTATAAACGTATATATTTGGTTTTTGTTTTATTTTTTTATTTTTTTGTTCCCTCTTTTGCTTTGGAATGTGACACAGCCTGTCAACTTTTTTCTTTTGTGAAATAGACAAAACAAAATAAGCAAACAAATCTTTTTCGCTTATTAGTTGTGAGCTGAGCGTCCTTTTCGGGTATCTCAAGAATTCACAAACTTTAATTTGTAAATTTGTGAAGGAAAAGACGAACCAACCAGGAGCAATCTGCCACATTAGGAGGGACTGATGAGACTTTTAACTACGATAATACAGCCCATCATTTGGAAAAGAGATTATATGCCTTGACTTAACTGAGGCGCTGCTTCACGAAATCCCTCTATTGCACATTTTATACGGTAGTTTTCTGCCCGTTACTGTTGGAAAAGGGTGAGATGCAAAATGTGTGCAGTTCCAGTGGAAAAGTTTGCCTTTTACTTTTTCCTTTTGAGAGACCACTGCTTAAAAGTTGCATAATGCACTCATCAATATGCACTAATGGGTACTTTTGTCGTATTACATACACATCCATGCTCGGAACGCAGCTGGAGAGACCTGTTTTGTCTCGAAGCGACACGACTTTCCGGGGCAGGCCTCGCTCACAGCCTGTCCGCTGTGACCAATGAACTTTTCACACTTTTGACCCAAAACTTACACTTCAATTACTGCTGGATGGACAAGATGACAAAGCAAATCTACATTATATTTTTCCTCATTTATAAATCGAATGAAAATAATAAAAAAAAAAGCTTAAATCCTGGACTTTCACCAAATAAGTCAGGGGGGGGGACAAGAAACGAAGAACAATAGAAGAGTGGTTGTAATGATGGCGGCTCGCTCTGTTTTTTTATTTTGATTCCAAGTTTGTTTTTTCTTGTTTTTCCCTGCCAGCTAGACCACGAAACTAGATGGATGCCACCTTCCCTCCCTCGCCTAAGTGCGGAGTAACAGAATAAATGTACAGCTAAAATCAGTTTACTGTATGTTTTGTGTTCTGTATATTTTTCTAATTTCTCTCACAACTTGATAAAAAGCATGAATGGTGCCTTCTATTTCACCTTTTCCAGTCTTACGATAGCGGTTCGAGGCGTTCTGCTTCCTATTATGGAGCCGCTCATTTTGAACTATTTCTTTTTGGGAGCGGATGGGAAAACATTGCAGTATTCATTCACAGGTTTTGAGTTGTTTTTTTCTGGTGCATATTTTATTTTTCCATACTGTTTTACTACCTAAGATCTGCTGTGAGTTTTTTGTACATTTGTTTGTATTGTGTCTGTTCTGGGTTTTGTAGAGGACATTAGGTGCATCCAGCTCTGTTTGATGTTAAATGGTTAAAAGATGCATCTGAAGAACAACCCCCCCCCCCCCCCCCCCCCCCCCCCCCTCTCCTCCGTTAAGGTACATTAAAGATGGTGACAGTAAAATGCTTGTTCCTCGGTTTAAGAAGTCATAGCTCTACACATCCCTGATTTCAGTCAACTAAGGTCTGCAGTTTGGAAAGTGTTTATCTAATTCAGATGATGTTGCTCCTTACTGCTACGTTCCTCAGCAACCATTTTGCAATGCTCCGTGCAGGTGGACTGGCCGCCTACAGACTAGCAAATAATGCTCACTTTTCTAGCTATTAGTGCATTTATATTTTCATATCCTGTTATTATTATTCATTTCTTTCTTCCATTCGAGGCAATGATCTAAACGCCACCTTTGTCTTCTCCCTCTTGTCCTCTCGCGTATTTTCTTTGTACCACTTGGTAGGGAGGGAAGACCTTTCGGTTTCAGCTGGACAGGAAAACATGACAAACTTTATTATTTTTTGTTATGTTGCACTGAATTGGGAAGTGATCGATGTAGCATTTTTCTGGACAAATATACGAATGAGGTCTTCCTTGTCTGCTGGTTGCACTATTTACAACATTTCTGGGACAATCTCTCATTTTGAATACAGTCGCTCCAAATTTCTCATCTGGTAGTAGAAAAAAACACAATTACATGAAAGAATATCTGCTCTCAGTTAAAACTAGATGTACAGACATGGCATATTTTATGTAATTTTCCACAGTAATACTCGGCTATTCTCCCTTTGTAGTTGAAATCAAATATTTTCAGATGTGAGATTAGTTTTCAATAGAGATTTCTTAATTTCTTACCATCAGTCTTTGACCTAATATTACAGAAAACCTTGCTCTTTGATCCTTGAGTGTTTCTCATGGGTGCCTCTGCCCCGAATGTTTATTTGTCAGGTAATTGCTTAACTTGAGCACTTGACTGCAATCCTACTTTTTACAGCAATGGTCAATGAAGAGGGTGACGAAGAAGAGACATCATGCTTTCACACCAATTTGTGCTTTTTACATCAAAGTGGTGGTTAAATATTTGAGGATTGATCTTCGTTTTCACTGAGGTTTTCAACAAAGTACCCTTTTCCAATCTTTTAAAGGATCCTTCAAAGCGAAAACGGCTGTAAATTAATTTTCCTGTGGTTGAAAATGCAGTATGGATCCTCATTGTGAATCATTCCAGTCCTTTTTTTGAATGGAAATATAAGTACCTTCTTGGCTTTAGCAGGTGTGGTAAACAGGTGGCTGCCATCTTAATTTGTACTGTGCTTACCCTTTACTTGTTGCTAGTACAAAAGTGTTGCAGGTGGAGAATCTTTTTCCTGGTTTTGTTCTTTTTTTTTTCTTTCAATTTTGAATGTGTTGGACTTAACATACAATAAACTACTGATATCAGCCCCACTCACAACGTTTGTCATGTGTACAGGTTCCTGCATCTGAGATAATTGAGATAACACGCTGCTGCTTTTGTTAATAAGCTTTACAAAACTGATAAGATTATGAAGTATGAAGGAGCTCCTTCCTTTAGTGCAGAAAAAAGTACAAGATAATCAGTTTTTATCTTCAATACTTTGAAACAGTATAGGGGCAAGCTTTGGTTGTGACCTGATTGTTATTTTGAAAGTATTACACTTAGTATTTCTAATTAAAGGAACACCCTACAGTCTTTACACTCTGCCCCTTGTATTAAGTGTTTTGGGACTTTTGAAAAGCTTTCTCAGGACTAGATAAAATCTTGGTTTGGAGTTTGGAGACCACATTAAAAGCTCAAGTTCTGTGTTACAAACATGGTGTAGAGTTTACAATATGTTGTTTAACAGGCAGGAAGGAAAGCAGTCGGATTTGTAGTTTAGATGCTTTTCAGGCTTGTCTTATACTAAGGACTAAAAGTCGAGATGTATTGGTTTATTTTTATATGTCACTACCAAGTCACCTGATGTAGTGGAAATGCGTTATTAAAATATATTGGAGTGTCCTTTCGCTTTTCTGTCTCATCCCTTATTGTAATGTTCCTTTTTGATCCGTGTTTATTATAGAGCTTGACTCCCAGAAACATCCAGAAAACATAATTAAGTGAGTCCAGGGTCTTTACTGGAACTGACACCGCCAAACCTTTTGGCCATTAGTGATGACCGAGAGGATCTCATTTTGTTTTGCTCTCAGGAAAATCCTACTCTTGTTTCATTTGTGAGTCTCTGTTGTTCTCTTTTGCTACATCCACGCCAATGGTGTTACATTAATAAACTAATCTACAGGTGGTGGTATTATGTCACGATGTACAGTAATGTGCCAACAAAGGCAACACGAAGAAGACAACCAAGAACATGGAAGCAAACTTTTATCAATTATTTTAATTAAATGTAATCAAAATCAGCTTGTTTTTTATGAATAAGGAACGCATTTAAGATGCAATTTTAGACACAATCCCTTTTGGGTAAGTAACACTAAATATAGAACAGAAACAGGAAACCTCCACATTGCACCCTTAAGATGAAAACAAACGACTGCATGCATTTGTGTAAATACAGTTATTCATTTACAATTGGTATATTCAAAGGATTGAAGCTGTCTCATCCAGCAGCACCCGCTCAGTCTCCGTCACTTTTGGATGAAGATTCACTAGATGAAGAATGAAACTTCTGAGCCTTGATGGGACGTCTCTGATCTCCTTTTGGATTGCTCTGGGGGGAGTTGATATTGAGAAACCGGGAGGAAGCCAGACCCACCATAACCTGAGTGTGGAAGAAGCTGACCTCCTGCTTGAATATACCGGGGGTAAATTGCACGTTGACCATATGCATAAGACCCTCCTCTGCCTGGATACTGGAGGACGTAGTAAGGCATCATGTGCTGCTGGTAGAAGGTATTAAGTGGAGGAGGACGGGGGTCCTGTTCTAGTACCTTGACATAGTTTGGAGGTGGAGGTGCTGGGTTCAAAGACTCCCCAGGGAACCGCCATGGTGGGTCCTCATTTCTTTGCAGAGTAGCCAAAACATCTTTCACAAAGGAAAATATTCAAAAATAATTCAAAAAGTACTAGTGAAACTACCCCCACAAGTACTATGAAGTACTTTTACTGTGTACTTTTCCAGTAATCCTCTGTCAATGTCCTCTCCTGAGTACAAGAATGCATGTTTTTCTGCTATTTAAGCGTTACAAAAACTTTCTTCCTGAGACTGATATTATTGGACAGAGTATTTTAAGAGGATATGGTGGACATATTATCAGCAAAACTTCCAGTCAGTACTCTGGCAGCAGCATTTTTACTCCTTGGAAAGTATTTAGAGACTATCCTGGATAGCTGGTCACAACTATCCTTCAGCAAAGTGACACACCCTGTCACTCTGGTTGGCCTCTTATGATGCTGCTGTCTTTTAATAAATGAATATTTCTCTGCCACTAGTTCATTCCTCGCAGATTCTTCAGTCTCATCAGCCTCATCAGCCTCATTAGCCTCATCAGCCTCATCAGCCTCATCCTTCCATCAGTCCCAGTCAACGCCTCCAGCACACTTCCAGTGTCTGACTCCATATGATATTGTCCTGATGCTGTAAGGGTGATGCCCCATGATCACAACATGACGACTCTAGAGTCTGAGTGCCAAGGCCCTCATATTATGTCTGTCATTAATGTTACATCACCCATTATAACAATTTTCTTTCCTTTTTTCTCTTCTCTTAACTGAATAGTCCTGTCTTTAAGTATAATACAATGTTAAGTCCTTTTCCTGCACCATTTGAAGGCTTCAAAAACAGACATTTTGACTGTATGTGTTTGGAGAAATAACACAATCAATGGCCAAGAATTGTACTTTATAAACTCTGAATCTTGTGGTGCTTGAAAAAATACACACTGGCTATGCCGGCCAGGTTATATATGCCTTTTTTGGAGCCCTTTTTTGCTATATTTATTAAAATATCAGTTTACTTTCTATTTCAACTATTTTAGGCAGGAAACCTTTATTGACTAAACATTTTTAAATAATTTACTATAATTTAGAAAGGTTTTTGTGACAAATAATTTCCAAATTAACCTTTTTCTCATTTTATATTTAAATTGGAAATGTTTACACGCAACATTATTAATTTATACATTTTTCTAATCTAATGTTCAGATTTTTTTATTATGAATCCATGTATTGTATTGTATTTCCTTGAGGCTGGGAAGGATATCCAGCATGTTGCTCCAATGACCATTAGACCATTTTAGTAAGGCAAAAAGCAAAAACGCCTCTCAGACGCTCTTCCGTTTACTTGTTTAATAAAGAAAAACAAATGGTCCGTAGATACACGGATTTAATGGGAATCTTAATTCCCAGGCTCCTCCAACAATGTAAAATAAATACATATAAGTAATGCAAGTTATGCAGGAGAAGTTAACTATATACATAAAATACAATAAGCTAAATGTTGCAGAGAAGGTTGTGAGTGACCAAGTAAATGCAGGAGTCTATATACATGTAAAATTAAACAAGAAAAACAAGAACAGATTGTACATTTAAACAGTGTACAGTGGAATAAATACTGCTTATTGTAGTTATCAATACATGTATTACTTGTGTTTAAAGTCTAAATGTTAACCCTGAAATAGAAAGGGCAAATGAATTTGACTGCATTATACATACAATAGTTATTCACTGTGCTTTTGGGCATGTACGTATTATTTGTATTCACTTTCAATGCCATCACTGAGATAAGACAGTTTCTCAGTTAACATTGTTTCTCAACACTTATATTAATAATAATACAGACACTATGATTCACATTCACTCTGTAATTAAAGTAATTAGGATTCTGTTGATAAAATGATTCAATCCAGTATGATTGTATAAATGATAATTACAGTATAACAGAGTGTGACACAATACCTCAGTCATAAAACTAATGCATTAAAAAAACAAATAATGCCTCACCCCTATCTATAAAAAGGCTTCTCAGAGGGTCTGCAGGAAATAACTTTCCACCAACCATGGAACTGATAACAGCAGCCCTGACTCTTCTTCTGTGCTCCCTGATACACGACACAGGTAGGATTTAAAGACATCATTCTTTAATTCAAACTAACATAATATATACGTTTGGGCTGTAACCCTAAGGACGTTTCCTCAGATAGAAGATCTATGAAACAGATAGTAAACATATTCAAGGCAAACTTGTGAATTTGGGATTTGATTGACTAGACTACTCGTATCTGGTGATTCTTTCTGTATTTGTTTGTATTTGGGTGTGGAGTAATAGTGGTAGTACATAGTAGTAGTAGTACATTTGTGTATGCAGACTCCAGCATTTTTAGGCAAAATATATATTAGATTTTAGATTTATTTTTATTAGACTCATGACATTAGTGTTGTTAAGATCCTGGCAATGGACTTTTATTTCACAATATTATGAAATAGTGACATCTTCTTTTGAATTTGATTGATTTAATCCTTTGATTGAATTTGATTGATTTAATCCTTTTTAGGTGATTTTTTCTGTACTTTTTTAGTATTTGGGTATAGAATAGAATTGGGAGGGATGAAACCTTCTTTTAATGGTCACACATGCAGAGCACACAGCACACACAGTGAAATGTGGCCTCTGCATTTAACCCATCCTAGTACCAGGAGTCTAGTACTAGGAGCAGTATGGAGTATACATTATACATTTGTGTAAGTAGACTCGAGTTCTCCAGCAAACACATTTGTACATTTAGTTCTTAATAATTTTTAAACAGGCATGAAATGTATGTTTTATTGTATTAACAGTTAACCAAGTAAATACATTGTTGAGTTCATCCAAATAATTTAGATTGATATATATTTTTTAGACTCATGAAATCAGTGTTGCTAAAATCCTGGCAGTATCCCTTAATTTAGCAATATTATGAAATAGTGACATTTTCTTTTGAAATCTTTTCCTCAAGTCCCTGTTTGGGATAGATTTGCCCACTATCGCCAAGGACCTACACCAAATGACCAACAAGGTATGACATTAATTAAGTTCTCAGCACTTTGATTTCAGATCCTGTAGTGAATGTGATTGACTTGATTCCTAATGATCATATTTTCCTTTGTGAAAGATGTTTTGGCTACTCTGCAAAGAAATGAGGACCCACCATGGCGGTTCCTTGGGGAATCTTTGAACCCAGCACCTCCACCTCCAAACTATGTCAAGGTACTAGAACAGGACCCCCGTCCTCCTCCACCTAATACCTTCTACCAGCAGCACATGATGTCTTACTACGTCCTCCAGTATCCAGGCAGAGGAGGGTCTTATGCTTATGATCAACGTGCAACTTACCCCAGGTATATTCAAGCAGGAGGTCAGCTTCTTCCACACTCAGGTTACGGTTTCATTCTTCATCCAGTGAATCTTCATCCAAAAGTGACGGAGACTGAGCGGGTGCTGCTGGATGAGACAGCTTCAATCCTTTGAATATACCAATTGTAAATGAATAATTTACACAAATGCATGCAGTTGTTTGTTTTCATCTTAAGGGTGCAATGTGGAGGTTTCCTGTTTCTGTTCTATATTTAGTGTTACTTACCCAAAAGGGATTGTGTCTAAAATTGCATCTTAAATACATTTCCTTATTCATAAAAAACAAGCTGATTTTGATTACATTTAATTAAAATAATTGATAAAAATGTGCTTCCATGTTTTCTTGGTTGTCTTCTTCGTGTTGCCTTTGTTGGCACATTACTGTACATCGTGACATAATACCACCACCTGTAGATTAGTTTAACACCATTGGCGTGGATGTAGCAAAAGAGAACAACAGAGACTCACAAATGAAACATGAGTAGGATTTTCCTGAGAGCAAAACAAAATGATATCCTCTCGGTCATCACTAATGGCCAAAAGGTTTGGCGGTGTCAGTTCCAGTAAAGACCCTGGACTCACTTAATTATGTTTTCTGGATGTTTCTGGGAGTCAAGCTTTTCAAAAGCCCCAAAACACTTAATACAAGGGGCAGAGTGTAAAGACTGTAGGGTGTTCCTTTAATTAGAAATACTAAGTGTAATACTTTCAAAATAACAATCAGGTCACAACCAAAGCTTGCCCCTACTGTTTCAAAGTATTGAAGATAAAAACGGATTATCTTGTACTTTTTTCTGCACTAAAGGAAGGAGCTCCTTCATACTTCATAATCTTATCAGTTTTGTAAAGCTTATTAACAAAAGCAGCAGCGTGTTATTTCAATTATCTCAGATGCAGGAACCTGTACACATGACAAATGTTGTGAGTGGGGCTGATATCAGTAGTTTATTGTATGTTAAGTCCAACACATTCAAAATTGAAAGGGAAAAAAAGAACAAAACCAGGAAAAGGATTCTCCACCTGCAACACTTTTGTACTAGCAACAAGTAAACAAGTAAACTGTAAACACAGTACAAATGTAGTAGATACACGGATCCCATTACCATACACACTGTGCATATGACAATAAAGCCTTTGAATTTGGAATCTTGACTAGGGGTGAATCCGAAAATTATACTTTTATCCCTACATTTCTTTCTTTATTCATTATTTGTATTTAGTCTTTTACCAGTTATAATGACATATGTAGTTCTCCATACACGTTTGTTATCTTGCCCTTTAAATAAGTGAACTCTGCTGATCAGCCACGTATCGCCACGTCTTCGCGCATGCGCAGTGCCTCACACTTGTGTTCCGGGGTCGATCTGTACACTGTAGAAAATCATCATTGTGTACCTTTTTCATTTTCTATTCACGTCGTTTTTACACGGACAACTGAAGGGGGAGTCTGGGGGATTTATCGGAAGGAGAGACGCTTTGAATACGGCACGGAGAGATGAACTTCTTCAGAGGAGTGATGGGGGGACAGGCCGCCGGGCCGCAGCCCTCCGGAGCCGAGACGGTAGGAAACACCCTGGATAACTGGAGCTAACTGAAGCTAACTGGAGCTAACTCAGGCTAACTGAGGCTAGCTAACATTACCACCACAGGGTTCCAGACGTACTGACACCACACACGTCAGCATTTAAACTCATGTTTATACACGCAGGGTGCATTTATATACCTACATATAACACCAATAATTACATGTTAAGAGACGGAGGCCTTCCTAAATCAGAACAACGAGCTAGTTATAAAGCTAATAAGCTAACGTAGCATACCTGTCAGTTAGCAGCAGGCTGTCTGACATGTCTACTGTTTTCTCTACGTGTAGCTGTAATAAATGGACAATAATGACTATAAGGAGTATCGGCTGTTTACTATATCTTTATCTTCAAATTACATCCAAGAATACACGAGCTAACTATGTTAACATCCTATTTAAATGATATTGTAACCATCTCTAGGTTCCCAGTGTCCTGTTCTTGATATAAACCAACATTTGTAGTGATTGGTAAGGGCTTTTTTTGCACTTCAAATTGCAAACGAATGAAAGAATATGGGATTTTAAAATACATTTCAATCATCACAACCCGTTCAGCCACTTTGTAGATATCAATGTCTACCAAAAAAAAGATACAGATCATGCCAAATTTGAGGGCGTAGGACGTAGGTTTCAATTGGCATGTCATCATCAGGCTGTATCTGTTGGTGGGTGATTTTAACATTTGACCTAGAGAAACATACATTGATGAGATCCTAAAACCCTTTGAAAGATCCCGGTAATGTGTCTTTTTTAAATTAGATTAAGCTTGGGAATTCATCACCCTGGGAACATATGGGATGCAAGGCATTTAGTACCACATCAACATTGTCCCTCTTGCTATGCTCTTCATATATCTCTGCAATGAATTTTAGCTTTCACTATCAATTGATCTGATTACAAACTTCTCACATAATTGGTAAGCCTATAAAAAGGTGGCCTATCATCACCATCCAAGGTCCAAGGTGACTCCTCAAGGTGCTTGGGTTGTTCAGCATCTTAGGATAATCTATTTCCAATGCCTTAAAATAAATTATGGAGTATTGCAGCCGTTTTACAATTAAGTAATTATGTTATTTAGACCTATGTTTCCCAACTGGTTTGTCTCCTAAAACCCTAACAATATGGCATATGTTATCGTTTGAAAATGTATGGTAGTTTGGACCATGTTAAAGAAATAACACATTTTCTTATCCAATAATTTACAAATATTAGAGGAATGCATTTCTTTCCATGTCAGGACTCCTGAGAACAAAAACAACAACCACATTTTGAATGATACCTTGTACCACATGCTTCTGAAGTAAAGGAAAACATTGTGTCCACTGATGTGCAAAACACACCCCATCATCCCTATTTCAACTTGCGTACATACAAATATCTTCTAGGCTGTATATGAGGCCTGCACAAATAATCAATGATTTATTTCTCTACAGATCCAGAAGTTGTGTGACCGGGTAGCCTCCTCGACGCTACTAGAAGACCGCAGAGATGCTGTCCGGGCCCTCAAGTCCCTCTCTAAGGTAAAACCAGACACAGTTAATCTAGTACACTGTGCACAGAGTAATTCAGTCTAATACAACAATGCAATACGTTTTAAGTTTATGGAGGTAGAAGCTGAATTGTGTTGGGTTTTACTGAGATTTTTTACATTCTTTGTCTTTCTGGCAATGAAATAATTTCGGAGAACAATATACAAGAAACACCTCTGTATTAAAAAATTTTTTTTTAAAACACACCATTGTTACCTTCTAAAAGATTGGATTTATTGCAGGGCTGTAATATTTGAATGCATAATTTTTCATCTGGATTGATAACATATACTGGCTGAGAATATGATAGGCTTTTGGTTAAGCCACATTATGGATGCTTCTCACAAGATGTTTGGCATACTTACTTTTTTTTAAATTGCAGCAGTAGCTGTCATCAAAGGAGAAAATGGCATGTAAATGAATTATGATATTTGTAAATATATTCTCTTCTGTCATGGATGATTTGTCAAACTCTGCTGAATCCTCTCAAAGCTGCCTCTCAGTTATGTTCATGGACAGTTTTGTTACTGTGTGCCACATCAACCATGAGTAATGTGTTTTTCAGGCATGAATAAGGGGTTTAGAAGGCACAGGGTTTCACATTATCGCTCAGTGGTATCAGCGCTGATCAAAAACACAGACATAGATGTGTTGACTTCCTGTATTTTATAGGAAATACGGTACAAAGTTCATGATTTAGTATTATTCAAATATTATTGGTAATTCGAAAGCACTAAGATTTTAGTTTAAGTCCAAAAACATTTCTTATCTGCTACTGCAAATGACCTCTCATGAAACAGTTGTTTTTAATAACCTTTTCTGTTTGTACAGTGAACTTTTGTCCTAATTCGTTCTCTCAAATTTGTATTTAATCTTTATGCTTTTATTTAATATTTTATATATAACTTTTACTTGCCTTGTTGTTGTAAATCACCTTAAAAATTGCCTTGCCTTCCATTTGATCCTTTCTAGAAATATCGCATGGAAGTTGGCACACAGGCGATGGAACACTTGATTAACATTCTGCAAACTGACAGGTATGATACAAATATTTCTATTTTTCTATAGGCACCTTGTCCTGATAAGAGTTAATAATGCGACTTGTGTTTTGTTTATTCTCCGATCTTTCCTGTAAATTGAACAGGTCTGACTCTGAAATCCTTGGCTATGCTTTGGACACACTCTACAACCTCATCTGCAATGATGAGGAGGAAGAGCAAGGTATTTAACCCTTCCTCACTTACTAGAAATGATTCATTTCACCTTAAATTGATCATCATTGAAGATAATTCTTCCTAATTGTGTGACTACAGTAACCGGTGACGGAGCCATTATTTTTTGCATGTGTAAATAAGTTCAGTTCATTTCAACTGGACACAAGTTAATTTGCATTCCCCTCCTCTGTTCACTGATGATGAATGCTTTGTGTAAAGATTCTCTCTTTTCTCTTCCATGTTTAACCCTACAGATGAATCAGAAGGTAAACATCTTTTAAACTGTGCATGACGCCACCCCCCACCCCTAACCACCAGCAGCACTTCAATCATTCATTGTTTTTGGGGTTGGGAAAAGAGCACGTATTGTTTACACCTGCTGCAGTACACAGAGTTTTATTAGCGGATGAAATTCAAGGCTGTATTTTTGATTGTTGTCATGCCATATCTTCACAAGAATCAGTCAGCTGGTTCTTCAGGTTGGTTGAAATAAATGCTGGCTTTTGGGTGAGGCTTTAAACCTCCTTTTCCCCCCCGCACTCTCAGACGCAGTAACCCCTATCCCTGCCTCAGGGAAGCATAAGAATGTTTCCATGCCTGGTCAGTACTGAAAACAAGCTTTTGCAAATGTAGTAATTAAGCTGCTATCTAACTAACTGCACTAAAATGGGTTGAAACTGGAAAAGTGAGTGCAAGGTGTTTTGGGTGGTAACATGAGTGCTTCACTAATCACTTCCCAACACCTCTTGTCTGTTTACGTGTCATATCTTGTTGCCCCTTTGATTCTAGTGCTGTACCGAGAAGTGTAACGCTCTGTCACAATGTTGATTCAAATACAAAATTAACATTCAATGCTGCGTAGCTTTTATTCAAATTGTTTATCCATACCTTAAATATGTTCTACGCAGTGCATAAAGGATAGGCTACACTACTATTATTAGCATTATACTATATGTAAAATCTGTCTTGTGTAATCCATCCATCTTTCCATAATGCTTGAAGCCACAAAGGGAGGCGTGTACCTGTATGAACGGGGCAGTCGAGCAGCACTCTGAATACATTTATATCTCCAGGAAAAGGAAGAATGTACATCTGAAAACAGCCCTTTATTTGATCCATTGGAAATATAAACATATTGATTACTGCAACTTCTAATATACATTTTAAATGTCACAACATTGTTTTTGGATGGAAGCAGAAATCTTAGAGAAAGAACAAGGTATGTCCAGATTACTAGGTGGGTATGCAATTAATCTGAGTGCAGTGGGGTTTCTCACCATGTTGTTACACTAAAAAAAGCTCTCTGTCGTCCCACGTTAAATGTTAAATTCCTGTGTGTACATAGTAACCCTACTGAGCTCCCCCTGTTCACCCTCCCACCCAGCTGTCCCTCATCCCCCATTTTTGTTTCCCTAAAGGCGTGTTCACAACTATCACCCTGAGCATTTGCACATTTCTCAAATGGCTTTACATATTCCTTGTAAAGTCACAATTCATTAGCAGAAAACCACCAGTGATAAAGTCATTTTGAGAAGATCTGATGAAGCTTTCTAACTCGGGCTGATGGTTATGAACAAACCAGCTGGTCCCCTCACTGCACTGCTGCTGTAGTGCTTATTGGAAACGTAACTAATGTTATATTTCATTCTCCTTCACAGATGAGGCCATGCAGAAGCAGTCTGATGACCTCGGGGCTCAGTTCACAGAGCAGTTCATTCAGGACCCCGAACACATCACTCTGATTCTCAGTCTGCTGGAGGTACTGAGCACTGTCTACTCGAGTGGCGAGAGTCTTTGGTTTTATATTTGTCTCAACACAGCCTGACACATTTATGCATTGATGTGTTTTATTTCTTAGGAGTTTGACTTTCACGTACGCTGGCCCGGGGTGAAGCTGTTGACCGCTCTCCTGAAGAACCAGGGGGTCCAGGTCCAGGGGATTATTCTGGTCAGCCCCATGGGTGAGTGTCTCCTCTGCACATGTGACCTGTTTAGAGTTATCAGGGGTTTACTCACCCTCAGTTTTATATCAACATATCTCTATCCTTTTACTGAGAGCACCTGTTCTCTCTGGAACAGTTGGCAACTCACAACAAAAGATAGTCAGATTGTCAGACAGTATTTTTTTATTATTGCTAAATGTTTTGTGTTTTAGATCAACCAGTATTTAATCAAACCTTTTGATTCATTCATTCGCAGGTGTTTCCAGATTGATGGACTTATTGGCAGACTCTAGAGAAGTGATCCGTAATGATGTAAGTATTTCAGTTTAAGCTGACATTTTGTTATAAAACGTTTATGGAAACCTGTGAAACTGCTGCCATGTTTAGACTTAGTTTAGCTCTGTGTGCAAGAACGCAGCCATCTCATTCGGACTTTGAAGCCTATCAAAATACTAAACTATATAATAAATAACTATACAAATAATTAATGTGTAATACAACCAGCAAAACACTTCCTTGACCACTTGCATACATGCATTGTAACAAAAGTGCATTTCTATGATGATAAACTCAGGTTTTAAACTGTACATCCTGATATTTCCTGAACCTTATACAGCGTGTCTGAACTCTAACTGTGTAATTCAAAACTATTTTTACAACTTGTATTTCATTCCAACAGGGCCTGCTGTTGCTTCAACAGCTGACCAAAAGCAATGCTGCTATTCAGAAAATCGTGGCATTTGAAAGCGCATTTGAGCGTCTTCTAGACATCATCACAGAAGAGGGCAGCAGCGATGGAGGTAAAAGGATTTTGAAATATGACAATCCAGTTTCTTGACATGAAACCGTATGAATATTGTTTTTCTTGTGAGATATGTCCTGATGCACATCCTTCTCTGCCTGCAGGTATCGTGGTGGAGGATTGCTTGCTGCTGCTGCTCAACCTGCTGAAGAACAACAGCTCCAACCAGAACTTCTTCAAGGAGGGCTCGTACATCCAGAGGATGAAGCCCTGGTTCGAGGTCGGGGATGATAACTCTGGCTGGTCTGCACAGAAGGTCACCAACCTCCACCTCATGCTGCAGGTAACGCAGAGCAGTCAGGTTGACGTGTTGCTTCAACCATTTCACAAATGAAGCGAGCAGAACAATGGCATTTTGTTTGCTATAACCTTGCACAATGTTCTGTTCCCAGTTGGTGCGAGTCATGGTGTCTCCGGTGAACTCCCCTGGAGCTTCAGCCAGCTGTCAGAAGTCCATGTACCAGTGCGGCCTGCTGCAGCAGCTGTGCACCATCCTCATGGCCACGGGGGTGCCTGCTGACATCCTCACTGAGGTAATGACAGAAAGCAATACCCAGTACACCCAGAAGAAACAGTTGTTTACTCGGAAGGATTGGCCCCTTTTGAGACACACAACATTCTTTTTTTTTGCTTATATTTATACATTAATAAATAAAGGAAATGCATAAATAAAGCTTTAATTATGAAATAAATATTCAGGTACATTTAAAAGCAAAAAAATACCCACCAAAATAATCATAATTAAATAAACTGATTTGAGAAATGTCTTATTTTTGTACTAATTTATTTTCTAATAAAAACTAGTGCTTAACACTTTTAAAATTAACCTGCACATTTATTGATTTTAGATTCTCTAATTATTTATAATTATTTATTGAGTTGTTTTGATTTTTTTAATATGTTACAAAGGCAGTTTTAGTCCTCCATATTGATCCAACTGCTTTTTTTCAGACCATCAACACTGTGTCAGAGGTCATCCGGGGGTCACAGGTCAACCAGGATTACTTTGCATCCGTCAACGCTCCTTCAAACCCACCCAGGTAAGAAACATCCTGAGACCTAAAACCCCCACTTTCCATCTGATAGTTAACTAATCCAACTTGAACTTCCTCTGTCCATAGACCAGCCATCGTGGTGCTGCTCATGTCCATGGTGAATGAGAGACAACCGTTTGTGCTTCGCTGCGCCGTCCTCTACTGTTTCCAGTGTTTCCTGTACAAGAACCAGAAAGGACAGGGAGAGATCGTGGCTACGCTGCTGCCCTCCACCATTGATGGTAAGTTACACCAGGTTGAGAATTTAGAAGTTCAATTTCTCCTGACAAGACATTGATCATTTCCCTCGTACCAACCGTACTTCAGTTGTTTTATATCTTCTCAAGAGTGCAAAGTCTTAAAGCCGCCTTTTTTTTTTAGTAGTTATGCTTTGGATTCAACAAATGTAAAACACTGACAGGCTGTTTATATATAATAACAAAAAACATTTGGAGAAAATATGCTGCGATGCTATTAAATTGAAGCACTTCACTCATAGAAATAAGCTTAAAAAAATAATAATTATAATATTTAAAATAAAATGCTTAATTGTAACGAATTAGCTTTATAGAGTACCACAGTGACGCGTCCTAAAACCCGGAATTAAGTTGGCATTTTACCACTTCCGGTTCCTTCGACAAAAACCAATGCAATTTCTCCATAGGACTTTGGAAAATAGCTCGAAATAAGGTCTGTGGTTGACACAAATTATCCACATGTCTACCCTACTATTCTCGAATCAGATAGATTTATGATTCGAAAATTATAAAAGTAGGGTAGACATGTGGATATTATCCGGCTGAACAAAACGTGATCTGTCTCTTCAATGTGTGTCAACCATTATTTCGAGCTATTTTCCAAAATCCTATGGAGAAATTGCATTGGTTTTTGTCGAAGGAACCGGAAGGAGTTTACTTCCGGGTTTTAGGACGCGTCACTGTGGCACTCTATTGGTGGGAAAAGTTACAAATATGTGGTTCTTTAGCTTTTGAGGTGTAATACATTTATATTTCTTTAGGTTATATCATTTCTAAGATGTTGAACAGTTGTTGTCGTACACTATAATTTACACAATGCACATGAACACATCTAAATATGACTGAATAATGGTAAATATTGCTTAATTATTTGAAGTATGTACAAAATAATCCGTTACTGACTGGCTCACATTTCTCCGTCAGCCAATTCCATCTCCGCGGGCCAGCTGCTGTGCGGAGGCCTGTTCTCAGCGGACTCTCTCTCCAACTGGTGTGCCTCCGTGGCCCTGGCCCACGCCCTGCAGGACAACCTCACCCAGAAGGAGCAGCTGCTGAGGGTCCAGCTGGCCACCAGCCTGGGGAAGCCCCCCGTCTCCCTGCTGCAGCAATGCACCAACATCCTCTCACAGGTAGGAAGAGAACCCTTAGTTGCAGGAACGAAGAAGAGGTTACCTGTGTGTCTGGATAGGAAGGATTCTGGGGCAAATTAGGGTTACAGTCTATGGTTAATACTGAAGTGTCAACAACAACGGTGAAAAGAACGGTGTAACATTATGTGGTTTTGCAGGGAGATAAGATCGCCCGGCGGGTAAGTAACGCGTGTGTGTTTGTGTGTTTGTGTGTGTGTTTGTGTGTGTGTGTGTTTTGTGAGTGTTTGGGCAGCATCTAAGCTGGTTATTTTGGCCTGGCATCTGTAGTAGTGGTCTTGTTGGCCCACATGTTTGGGGATCTTGCTTCACTTTAACTCTCTACCACCCCTCTTTCACCCCTAACCTCTGGCTTTGACCCCGCTCTTCCTCATCAGGGTGGCACACTAGTTGCTCTCACTGTGTGCACTCGTGGGGAAGTACACACATGGACAGCCAAGCAGCTTGTTTTTTTTTTTGTGGGTTTGTCATCCTAACACCGTTGAGCTGTCACTGGTTTGTTTGCAACACCCTTATCTGTGTGTTCAGGAAGTTTGCTGCTGCAGCTTTGGGGCCTTTTCCTGTCCAAGTGAGAGATCTCCTCTCTTGTTTGTCTGGTTCCTTTTTCTTACATGTACCTGCTTGCAAATGCAGGTGCCAGAAAATGTTATAGTTATAATGATTAGTTAAATATCCCATGTGGATTCAGGTGGTTAAACATATATTAATGGCTACAAGATGAAGGTTGAAATTATTCAACTCAATTTACTCAGCCCTCACGGTTTTCCTGGGAGTTTCTCAGTTTGCATTACTCTCTTCATGCCTCCCTTGGAGCAGCCAATTATTCTTCTCTTCCTGTTTACGCTAGTTATGTCTGTAGCGAAGGATCAAAACGCAGCCCCCCTCAGACCTCCACCTTACTTACTTTGTCATGTTCAGCCATAAGAGATAACGAGAAGCAAGCACCAAGGCTTCATGTAGGGTTGTAGTTCATGCCAGACGACAATTGACAAAAAGGGTCTTTGCAAACCCACAAAGGATGAAAATGGCTTCTTGAAATTACACTTCCTAGTGGGGGAGGAGTGCAGGAAATCGAGCAGTATTAGATTAGTGTGGCATCAGGAGACGTGCATGAACGAAGGAGCTGACCCTGAGATTAAGCTCTATGCTATTTGTCATGATGACTGCAAATAATCAGATTGGTTACAGGGGGGAGGAGCACGGACATCCGGTAGTTATATAAGTCCTGATCCTTTATGTAAAGCAAACGGCAGATGTGGATGTGTCTTTATTTCTCTCACTTGAGTCTTGGACTTCAGTTTTAGTTCGTTAGTAGCGGTTGTTTTAAACACAATTCACCGCACAAACACTTACAGAAGCACGGTGTATACTTTGTTTTTTGAAAAAGGCAAATGTTTCTGAGTAAATGCTTGTGGTCTTGTTCCTGTCTATTTGTTTTCCTCTTCATTTTTGCATTGCATCACATTTGGAGATTAAATCTGAAAAGGTGATTTTGTACGTTTTTATAGTTTTTAATGCTGATAAGTTTTTCTTCCCCACCTTCATTGCTCAGATCTTATTAAACTTTAAGAAAGATATCTGCTCTTCTGAAAGCATGATAAGTGTTAATGCACCAGCTTGTTTGCAGCCTCACCTACAGTGTAGAAATGACAGATCATCTCTGGCTGGGCAGTCTGCATTGTGGATGGAATTTCATCATTTTTAAGTCTTTTTTTACTTTTCCACATTATTCTGCATTATTTTTCTGTATAAAAGCTGACTTTTTTTAACAACCAAAGGGACTCCAGGTTGCGGTCTGTGGCAGATCTGAAACCTGTCTATCACTTTTCTATTATTACACTTCCTTTTGTGTTCGTAAAAGCACATTCAGTGGGTTTTGCTTTGCATGTGCTGATAGTTGGAGACACAGTAACAATTTTGTATTACTTGTATTGCCAGGCATCAGTCGCACACACAATTAAAATTGGCAACCAGAAATTAATTGTGTACTTTTGGAATCAATATATTGTATGAGTTTTGTGTCCTAGTGTTTTGTTTGTGATAACTTTAAGAACTACTAACGGTTGATGTGATTGAAGTGCTTCCATTTAGGAAATGAATAGGTTTACCTAACCATTTCCTTCTTTTGTTGAAGATTAATCTGTTTCCCATGTCAGGATGGGAAGATTTGACTTATTGAGAAGTGTGCTAACTAAATTAATGCTTGTTTATTTTACCATCAACTCATAATCACAACCTTTGTTGCCATTTTATCATTTTTTGTCACTCTTTATCAGTTTTATCAGTTTTCCTGAATTTGATATACTGTCAATAGTTTTGTAAGATTCCTGCTGCACATGATGACTTGCTATAAGTAGAATTATAGTTATTAAAACATTAGTGGTAAATCTGATGATTTGCTTTAAAGTACGTCAATTCTGTTTCCTCATTGCCTTAACTCCAAGTGTTTTAATATCTCCAGAAAATAACATATTTGGACTTTTATCAGTAGTTTTCCTGTCACTCAAGAAGAACATTTATTACCACATTTATTTTATTATTATTGTTGTTTTTCCTCCACAGGGCAGTAAGGTGCAGACCCGCGTGGGCCTCCTCATGCTGCTGTGCACCTGGATCAACAACTGTCCCATCGCTGTCACTCACTTTCTACACAACCAGGAGAACGTTCCTTTTGTATCCTTCAAAATAATTGCAAGCCTATCGACACATTTCATTACAATACATGTCTGTATTTAATAATAAATATAATATTAATAAACTTTATTTATATAGCACCTTTCATGCTTGACGCAGCCCAAAGTGCTTTACAGAGTATGACAAAAACATCACAATGACAAATGAGGAACATGATTAAAATATGTAAAAACAATAAAAAGATAGGTCTTTAATTTACTTTGAAGAATTCCAATTGAGGTTGCCGTTCTAAGATTTAGTCATAGTTTTCTTTAAAAAGTAGTTCATAAACGGTTCCTTAATATTAATCTGAATTGATTTCAGATTGACTCTCATTTTGAAATAATAACTTTTGAGGAATTCAGTTTAATCTTCTTATTCAGATTGAAGGTTATGCATTAAATAGTATTGTTGTGTGTGAGTGTGAGCCTGTGTGGACCCTTGACTCTGACTCTGCAGCTGACAGCTCAGATCTCAGAGAACTTGGGGGAGGATGAGCGGCTGGTCCAGGGTCTGTGTGCGCTGCTGCTCGGCATCTGCATCTTTTACAACGACAACTCGCTGGAAAACTACACCAAGTAAGTGGTGTCCTCACACACACTTTAGACTGCTCCCCTAAACACAGTTGCATGATCTGCAGTATTCCAATTACTCCAAAACCTTAGTTCTCTTGCAGTTCCATATTGTGGATATTTTTGGCTGAATTTCTCATTGAGAATAAAATATCTCTGTGTGATATGTTCTTTATATACAAGTACAGTATGAGACTCTTTTGAATGTGCAAAAACTATTATAGTTACGCACTTAGACAAATATTATATGGATAAGTAATCAAGTTTTTCTAGAATTGTTCCTATGCACCTATGCCAAAGTTATACAAAGTTTAGATATTTTGAATCTGTTGAAACAAGCTGTATCCTCTTTAAGCCCTGCCATGTTGTCTCTGTCCTCCTCAGAGATAAGCTGAAGCAGCTCATCGAGAAGCGGATTGGAAAGGAGAACTTTGTGGAGAAGCTCGGCTTCATCACCAAACACGAGCTGTACTCGCGGGCGGCCCAGAAGCCTCAGCCTGTGTTCCTGTCTCCGGAGCAGATGCTGTTCGACCACGAGTTCACCAAGCTGGTCAAAGAGCTGGAGGGTCAGTCGGAGCCTCTTCCACACAGCCAGCAATAGTTCATCTGTCATGGCAGAGTTTAACTTAGTTTTTTTACCCGCTACTCTAAACAGGTGTGATCACAAAAGCAGTTCACAAATCCAGCGAGGATGAGAAGAAGGAGGAGGATGTGAAGAAGACTTTAGAACAACATGATAATATTGTAATGCAGTACAAGGACCTGATCCGAGAACAGGTAAACAAAGATATTGAAGTGACTGTTATTTTTGTACATATTGATTGTTGTGCTTTTATTTAGGTCTTAATGTCTGCATCAGGGTTTCCGCTAAAATGTTGTTTTGCCGGTCTGGAAATAATTTATTTTACCGGACAAATTCGAAACTTAGCCTACCGGTGATGTTTCAATAATAATAAGAATAAGAATTGTGTAGCAGAGTTTCCGTTAGCAGGTAATTACCGGACTATGACCGGATATACTGATGTTTAAAACTCAGTTAATGGGGCTCATTTATATATTGCTTCAGTTTATAATCGTAACGGATCGAAAAGTTCAGATTCATTTTTCAAAAAATGATGCGCTTCCCCAAACAACAAACAACATAATTATTACATTCAAACAAACGACTTATAGTAGATGAAGATAACTTTCCATAAGAACACGGGAGAAACGGATCCTCTCTCTCTCTCTCTCTCTCTCTCTCTCTCTCTCTCTCTCTCTCTCTCTCTCTCTCTCTCTCTCTCTCTCTCTCTCTCTCTCTCTCTCTCTCTCTCCTGACAGCCCGTCTGTATCTCATGCAGCTCGCTAAACAGTGGGCGGGGCTTCAGGTGATCAGAGCTGCGTGTCTCCGTCAGACTCAGCAGCAGCTGATCTGATCTTTGATCTCTCTCTCGCGTCCGGTTATACTTCACTCGCGTTTATGTCCATATCGATCAGATCAAGCTCTCCTGATCGGCCTTTATAGAGAGAACCGATCAAACTATTAAGAGTGAATATCGGCCGATAATGATCGGCGGCCAATCGATCGGAGCATCCCTAATTATTACCGGACATTTTGACCGGCAGGTTTTTAATTTACCGGTTTTTAATCAATTTTATCAGCTAAAAATGTGTAATTACCGGCTAACGGAAACCCTGGTCTGCATATGTATAAATGTGTCTTTGAGTGTGTATATATAGGTATATACATATTTGCACACATTTGTTTTTGTATTCGGGATTGTGGGAAACGGTATTTCGATCTCTCTGTCTTTCACACAAACTGGAAGATTGACAATAAAGTTGACTTTGACTTGACATTACACTTATTGAGCATGCTTGGGTTTTATTTCGGTGTATATGATGTTACTTATATTTGATGTTCGTGCCATTGACTGTTTGATTGTGACTGTGTGACCCTCAGGATGCTCAGATCCAGGAGCTGAAGGAGCAGGTAGCGACCATGACGTCTCAGAGCGAACAGATGCAGACGACGGTCACACAGCAGCTGTCCCAGATCCAGCAGCACAAAGACCAGTACAACATCATCAAGCTCAAACTAGGTGAGTTCATCTCATTGGTTGACAGGTAACAGGTGTTTCTGTCCGCTGGGTAAAAGTGCTCTATGTCTTGCAAAGAAGAGGAATTTTCTGCAATAGAAAAAAGTATTCAATTACATTTCCGTGTGATTTATTTATTTATTTTTAACAACCCAGTTCTTGTTTCAATTTTTTTGGCCACCGTCCATGTTGATGATAACATTTTACAGCTTCATTGCTGAGATACGATGCACCAGGGATATGCAGCGACGTCTTAAGATAGTTTTACAACATATTTAGAGGTCTGAAAGGGAAATAATAATATTTTGGAGAAATACACTAGTCTAAAGGATTAATAACTTTGAACTATAATTAACTATTACATATCCTTAACAAATAATCATTACTTAAATAAAACCCCTAAACTAAAACAGTGAATAAATAAATAGGAATCTCTGCCTATGTTACCAAAAAAGTGCAATGTTCTGTACAATCACCACGTTTGAAAAATTGTTAGATAAACCATGCTGTTTATTCTGGCATCTTTTTGGCCTACTCATTGGTGATTTACTAAACAAAACTCAACAGGGTATAAACACAACAGAAAAATGCTGTTGTACCGTAAAATTATTATTATTATTACGATAAGCTAAAACATAATTATTCTGATAAGGCTCAAGGCTGATATATAGCGAAATAATATGAGTATAGAAATCTGTATCTACCTGAAGAATCCAGTACCGATCCGGCTGTATTATTGTGTGTGTGTGTGTGTGTGTGTTTTAACTGTGTGTTTCACCTCCAGGTAAGGACAGCCAGTCTCAGGCGAACAGCCAGGCGGACTCTCAGGTGAACGGGCTGCAGACGGAGGAGCTCTCGCAGCTCAGAGAGGATCTGGAGGAGCTCCGGCAGCAACACACACTCCTGCAGACACAGCTCAGTGACAAAGACGCTCTCATCAACACCCTGGTTAGTAATGTCTACGCACAGTCTGTGTTTGTTTGTCTAAGCTCTAAGTGGAGGTGTATGAACACACAACTGTGTGACTCGCTGGGGAGTGTTTCCCAAACAGCAACAGTGATCACGTTCAAACACCAGAATCTGATTTATTGTCAGACAAACTGCATTACCAATCATAACAAATACAATTTACTTGATTACACAAATGGTGTCTTGTTTCCTCCAGGCATAACACATAAACAGCAGGTAGACTTATGGCGCATTTCCACTACAGCGCGGAGCTCGGTTTAAGCGTGCCGTGCCGTGCCGTGCCCGGCCCGTTTTTGGTTGCGTTTCCACTTGGCGTAATTACCGGCTAGCGGGTACTATTTCACAGTTTTTCTGGCCCCATAAAATCGAGGTTCTTTCTGGGCCAACAACCAGGCTGAGTCGGGCTGAGTATGCTAAACTAGAGAGAGAATCGCTGGCAAGGGGGCTACAACTACAACAAGATGAACATATTTGACCGTGATTTAATTGTAATACACGCTTCAAAATGATGCCGAAGTAACAACATACTAATACCGGTTAGTAAAAAGCATGAATTAATGCTTTGACAAGTCTGCAGACAGACGGCAGGCGAAAAACCTTTTAAAATGTGTGTTTTCTAAATGGAGATTGGCTAAGCTAACGCAGTATATGCCCCGACCGTCCACACTCACAACAACGGCCTATACAGACATAAATAAAGCAGCGACTGTATTCACCATGACACAGGCAGTCTGTGGTTTGTACTTGTTTAACTTTTGTCTAGTTTCTGAACAGATATGAGGAGCTGTGAGCTCTGAGTGCTAACAGCTAACGGCTGATGTTGTTTTTCTGTGGTTCTCATTGAAGATGACGTCACGGCTCCGCCTACACTGCGTTACTATAGTTACTGCCCCAGCTACTAAACTGTAATGGAAACGCAGCATAAAGTGAGCCAGTCCTAACAAGGCCTAACGAGGCCTAGCCATACCGAGCGAGGCCGAGCGAGGCCCTGTAGTGGAAATGCGCCATTAGAATAACAGATGACTTCAAACCACACCTTCACTGTCGTGGTAACAGCCAGACAACATCACAATAAAAGAAAACAACTACAGATTTCAGGCTAACCAAAACTCCTTAAAACAACATATACATTCTTATGACAAAACTTCTAACCATATTTGGTGAGAAACACTTTCCACGGGGAACCCTGAATGTATTACAGCTGTATCTGTCCATGCACAGAGAGTAATAGGTATTTATTTAGTTATCTATGTATCATCAAAGATACTTTTAAAGCCAAAAAGTGAAACATTTCCAAGTATTGCCTTCTTAGATGTGACGACACTCTAACATGTTATGTGTCACCTTTTGGTTCTGGAACAAAGCTGTCATTATAATACATTAATACACAAATGTCTTGACTTAAAAATGTATTTCTAAATGTAGAAGTAAAAGCCTCTATAATCAAATTCATGTGCAGCTTAATTTAAAATGCAATATTAATTATGCTATAATGTTATTTCTTTATCCATATGTTAATAAGCGGGTGTGTCTTGCTGGTGTCACATAAAAGTTATATTAAACTGCACATTTATTTAATTATTGAGGGTTTTTTTTGGGACCCTTATTTCTTTATAATAATAATAATAATAATGATAATAATAATAATAATAATAATAGCAGCTTTAGTCTTCCATTCCTCGGAAACTCCCATAATGATTTTTTCACATTTCTATGACATTCTATCGACCAGGTATAAGAAAATAATCAGCAGATGAAATGAATTAAATTTTCTTAAAGGCTTAATCTGTTTTGATTGTTATTCTACAATTGGGGTTTTACTTTAATCATTTCACAGAAAAAAAGTGCATCATTAATTAGGGATGCTCCGATCGCCAATTTTGGGTCCGGAATCAGTATCGGCCAATACCGATCGCCGATCCGATCGAGTGGGCGGGGCCTATGGGGATCTTCCATTTAAAGTGATGTTTAAAACTCAGTTAATGGGGCTCATTCACTGGCGCTTCCACAAACAACAACCAACATAATTATTACATTCAAATTAAGTACATTATTCAAGTTTACATTAACTTTGGATAATAACACGGGAGAAATTAGCGGAAGCGCTCTCTTTTCTCCTCTCTCTCTCTCTCTCTCTCTCCCCTCTCTCTCTCTCTCTCTCTCCTCTCTCTCTCTCTCCCCCTCTCCCTCTCTCTCCTGACAGCCCATCAGTATCTCATGCAGCTCACTGATCCAGTAATGAGTGACCCGACAGTGAAGAATAAATATATTTATAACTAGTTTAGCTTGTTCCAGAGGTAGATAAAATAGCTAAGTGTGTTAGGTCTAACTCTGAGTGTGTGTTTTGCTCCGCTCACCGCTCCGTCACAGCGGGCGGAGCTGCAGGATTTCTGCTTCACACACACGTTGCATACCGCTATTTTATTGTCATTTTCGGACACCTTAAAATACTGCCAGACCGGTGAAGCCATTTTGGTGAGCTTGTTTTGCCTCACACAGAGAAAAGTGTCATGTATTTTACGTAATGTGATCGGCTCTCCTGATCGGCCTTTATAGAGAGCACTGATAGATCGATCGGAGCATCACTAATGTTTCCTGTGTCCTCTCTGTTTTCTCTGTGACTGTAGAGATCAGAGACAGCAGAAGGTTCGGCAGCATCAGACAACACAGAAATGCTCAAGGTGAGATTCATCACTGATACACTGTTTCCCCTTTTTAGAAACATAAAACTGACCTTTTTCAATAATAATGTGTGAAGGATGAGGCTGGCATTATTATTGATTTCTGATTTTATCTACAACTCCCATGAAAGATGAAAACCTTAGTATACCTTCGCATACTTCCTCCCATTGAAATGCTTTTGGATTACTTCCCTCTATGATCATTGAATACCACCAGACTTACCCCTTAAGCTTAATCATTTTAACATTTCAGTTAATCAATCTACATGTTTATTTATTTATTTAATCGTTTATTTGGCAGGGACAATGCACAGTAATGAACACTTAAAACATTACAATGTGTCAAGCGTAACAGTGCCAGATTTAGCTTTGAGCTCATTTCCATCCGCAGTCCCTCGCATAAAACATTTAAGAAGTTTACATTTGACAAACATAGCAAAAACAAAATACATGATATGCAAAAAGTGCAAAAGAGCAAGAGCAGCATACACAAGTATTTATGACATGGTGATACAATATAGCAGCAACGACATATATAGTGCAAGAGAAGATACCCCTGTGTTAAAGTGCATTTAGCGGTGATTGCACGGATGTTTGTTTCTCAACCATTCTTTGAGTTAAATGTTAAATGCATTTTAAAGTCTTTGACTCTCTGTGTTGCAGGAGCTTGATGCTCTGAGGAGTCAGGTCCATTCCCAGGCGACAGAAATCGACCAGATGAAGACAGAGAGACAAGAGCTGCTCCGAAAAGCCGAAGCTGTGGTAAATATCACGCAAAAATCACATTAAATACCAAAAAGATCACATCATTATTGACAGATACTAAATGAATGACTGGTTCCTCTCAGTCCTCGGAGGCGGTCTCCAGCAGTGACGGCTCGTTAGACGCTGCCAAGATGGCGGAAGTGGAGAGCAGACTGGCAGCTCAGACGAGCGAGACAGAGAGACTCAAGGTGTGTAGGAAAACTGTTTGTTAATATCCGAGCATGACTGAAACATCACTTTACCTCGACCAATTGACTTCTAATATTATAACACCGGTTGGCTCTCACCTTTTCCATTTATTGGGTTTTTTCAACAGCATACAGTTATTCTATCAGAGCATGTATCAAAAGTAGGTAAACAAATCTTCACTTTATAGAAAAATAGGTAGAATAACAATGTAAATACTGGGCAAAAAGATCCCACACAGACAGAAGACAAACATCCATCCATCTTCTCCCGTTTATCCGTGGTCGGGTCGCAGAGGTAGCAGTTCCAGCAGAGAGCCCCAAACGTTCCTTTCCCTGGCCACATCAACCAGCTCTGACTGGGGGATCCCAAGGCGCTCCCAGGCTCCACCTGGTCCTAGGTCTACCCCTTGGTCTCCTCCCAGCTGGACGTGCCTGGAACACCTCCCTAGGGAGGCGCCCAGGTGGCATCCTTACTAGGTGCCCGAACTACCTCAACTGGCTCCTCTTGACGCGAAGGAGGAGCGGTTCAACTCCGAGTCCCTCCCGGATGACTGAACTTCTCACCTTATCACTAAGGGAGACGCCAGCCACCCTGCGGAGAAAACCCATCTCGGCCGCTTGTATCCGCAATCTCGTTCTTTCGGTCATGACCCATCCTTCATGGCCACGAAAATGGCCCGGTAGACAGAGAGCTTTGCCTTCTGGCTCAGCTCTCTTTTCGTCACAACGGTGCGGTAAAGCGACTGCAGTACCGCTCCAGCTGCTCCGATTCTCCGGCCCATCTCACGCTCCATTGTACCCTCACTCGAGAACAAGACCCCGAGATACTTGAACTCCTTCACTTGGGGTAAGGACTCATTCCCTACTTGGAGTGGACAGTCCATCGGTTTCCTGCTGGTGATCAGCACCTCCAAATCTCATCCCACAGAAGACAAACAGACATACAAACTGACAAATAAAAAAAAAAATAGACAACCAGTCAGCTAAAACCAAAATGTCAATAATAAACAATAAATGTCAGGCTCTCATCTTTTCCAAAGTATAAGCTTTTTCTCCAGAGTCAGGTTCCCATTGTTTGTATTTATGGATTATTCTCTCATCATTCATTCCAGGAGGAGTCGAAGAGCTTGTCAAAGAGCCGGGTGGATCTGGATCAGCAGCTGGCCGCAGCCACCAGCACGGCGGCCATCTTGCAGACGGAGAAGGCCCAGCTGCAGACGGAGGTGCAGGAGTCGAAGAAGGAGCAGGACGACCTTCTGATGCTGCTGGCCGACCAGGACCAGAAGATCCACAGCCTCAAGCTGAAGCTCAAAGCCCTGGGAGAACCGGTACACCATCAGAATTATATTTAATTATTTATCTACAATAATCAGGTTTTAAATCTTCATCTTATAAGTGCTATAAGGCTCTACTGCTGTGGAGCTTCACTCAACTAAACCTGATCAGGATGAAGGTTTCCTACACAAGCAAGTAAATACATGAGTACAAAATAATAAACAACTAGAAATAACCTGAAATATTAAAAAGCATAAGAGATGCAAGTATAGGCTTAAAACTTGTTCAGGTAACGTGATTGTTTGATCATCAATGAATCAACATGTTTGATTTTTACTGCTGAAATTTAGATTGTGGACACCAGTAAATTGATTGAAAATGACCCACTAGTTACACTTTTAGCCCTTGTTACCCATATTTTTCATCCACGATCTCGTCCAAATGATTATAACTTATGTTCAATCAGGAGAGACGCTTTTGATGTAAGAATACATATTTATTGCCAGGAATACACAAATGAATGTAATGGAGTTTTGGCGATTAGGCCCCGTTGTGCAGGACTATCATTCGGGAGGGGAGAACCGATCAGATCAGATGAAACCCCCCGGGGTCTAGACACTGGTGGTGGTGAATGGATAGTTAGGTCCGGTCTGAAGGGGAGTGGCTTAGCTTGACCCTGGATTCAGAGGGACAGGAGGTGAAAAGGGGTGGAGGAGGGTTGCGTCGAGTCACCTGAAATGACAGCTGTCAGAGGGGGGAGAGCAGATTTAAAAGGTTTAGCGGAGCGCTGTGATAGGCTTGTGAGAATAGAGCGAAGTGATTGGTTAAGCTGGGGAGTGACGCCCCCGATCACTTATTGAGAGGAGAGAGAGTAGTAACATGGAAAAAGTAAATGAATGAGTAAAGAAGGTCTTCCTGGTTGAACTTGCGCTTGAGCTTCATTTGTCAGTCGTAAATTAGCACGGCCAGCTGATTTAAATAGAGGTTGTCGCCACTTCTCGAAAGGGTACCGGTGACTGAAGAAGCTGAAAATAATTAATAATAATTTTCCAGATAGTGGGTTTAAAAAGCGTCGCAAAGGTCTCAGCATGACTTCTCGGAAATATTCATGTTTAATAATGCAAAGACTAAATCTACTTTTGCATTTTTTCATGTCACACAGAACGATTTTAAAAGCAATGTATTTCTATTGGTGGTATGTTTCGTGCCTGCACCACGTCTTTTTGTCCGGTCGGGTCTTGGAAGACCAGAAGCTGTGTGGTTCATAAACACATTTTCTTACTCAATATCTTACCCTAAGCCTAACCCTTTTATTTTAAATTGTGTAATGTCGGAGTTTTTTTGCCGTCCGTGAGGAAAATAAATGGGGCTCAGAGCCTCAGAATACTGAAATCTGTATTTAAAAAAAGAAATGTTCCTTCTAATTTGTTATTATTTGGTGCAGGCACGAAACATACTACCAATATAAATACATTGCTTCTAAAATCGTTCTGTGTCAGAATACTGAAATCTGTATTTTTTTTAAATCTGTTTTTCCTTCTAATTTGTTATTATTTACATTGCTTTTAAAATCGTTGTGTGTGTGTGTGACACGAAAAAAATGCGAAAATCGTGTTGGTGAACACGAATCAATAGATGAATTTCGTGACTGTGTTGTCCTCTCAGCTGTGACGTGAGTGTTTGCTATAGTTAGACTGTGACTCTGTCCTCACAGGTGGACGATGAAGACGATCTAGACGCCAGGGACCAAACAGACGACGATGAAGAAGACGATGATGAAGACGAGGACTAGAGGGAAAACACTGAAAGAAAAAGAAAAAGGAGAGATGGGAATATTTGTCTGTCAACAGGCAGAAAAAAGAACTGTGCAGAAACACAGCTGAGAAACTGAAGAATAGGACTAATATATTGAAGCAGTTCCTCCCCTCCGGCTGCCATGCTATCTTCATCTTTCTTTTACTTCCTGTCACATGTTAGTTATTATTTCCACTGGTTCAGTTTTCCGTGACAGCAAAGAGATTTCAGTGCATTCATCTCTGCTACTTTTACCGTCAGTTTGTGATGGATTTTACCAGTCTTGTGTTTATTGTAATGTATTTTCATATAGTTTGTAATCACAAGAAAATAGACGCTAAGTAATTATTAATACACGTCATGAGTAAAATTCAGAGAGAAGGATTTCAAATGTAGCAAAGATGCATCTGTAAAGAGGTTAAATATTATTCTCATTTTATCATTGACATACAGTTAGGCTCAGCTGCAGCGTGGCACTGTGCTGCTCGCTGAATTGATCTTCACTCCCATCAGTTCTGCTATATTTCATTCTGTTCATTTCCCTTTGACGACAGAACCAACCCGCTCTACAATATGCTGCAAAACACTGACGGAAAACATGTCAAGACAAAAAAAATGAGATATTTTTGCAACTTTTTGTCCAGTACTGGCATCCAGCTTCTGTATTATATTGTGTAACTTATCAGTTTATGAGCCACATTGAAATGAATAAAAAATCTATCGGTCTGAATGTCTGAATGGAGGGATAATTGTAGATAAATTAAATTTTACTAAATCCAGAAAGAGACTTATGTGTTTGTCTTTTAGAATGATTGATGTCTGATATGAAGGGGCAGATAAGGAAATGTCTATAAATAGGTATCAAATTAAAACAAATATGATAGCTATGCTTAAATATCTTTCTGGTATTGTCATTCACTTACAAACAATGTATTGGCTGCTTATGATCCCTGACAGAAAATACCAGAAAGATACTTTATTTGGTTATTTAAAAATGTTTATTTCATTGTTCATTCTAAGACAAACTTTTCTAATTCATCTGTGAGAAAAACATGCGTAATGGATTGTTTCTAGAAACAGGAAATATCTAAATGAGTTGAGCATAAAAGTCTGTGTTTAGTGCCAACTTCCGGCACTTGAACTACACTTTTAGGGGATTCACTACAAGAACACTGACTTGTGTTGGAATAAAGGAAAAAAACAATTGCAACATCGAACAAATGATTTCCAACCTTTCATTTTGGCAAGAAATGACCATGCCCCCACATGAGGAAATATGTTATATAATATTTCATTTGAAAAGCATACAATCACTAACAGTGAGGATTTACCCTACAGTGACCATCAACTGGCGGCCCGCGGGCCAAATGTGGCACGCCAGACATTCTCATCCGGCACGCGCTGTGGCGCTGGCGGAGTGGTTAGTGCGTTCGCCCCCCACTCATTTTTTTACAACGTCTCGTGAGTAATGTGCAGTACCGGAGTCCAACAGAGAGGCAGCAGTTGCGGGACAGTAGCCTGCGTACTGCGTAGCCTTCCCTGCCCCCCCCCCCCCCCCCTACATGCTTCCATATTTTCCAAAAGGCCTCAACATCTTTAAAACTCTTTAAAAAGTATAACCTTAAAGAGGGACCAGTCGGGATTTTCGAAAATATAGATTTCAGTCTCACATTTTTAATTAAAAAAAGCTCCTCTGAGAAATGGATTTCTGTTAATGCACATTTGAAGACTGCATAAGCAAAACTTCAACTGTGTTCATGAAGAATTTTGCTCATTAAATGCCGAAAACGCTTGTCCAAGCAGCTCAACATATGCGACTCCTGAGACAGATTACATAATTCACACCTGGTTCAGGTAAACCACACCTAGAGGTAGTCTGAAAACTCCTGTTGAAAAACATCTCCTTCCTGCAGCCCTGCCCAGATGATGAGCACAGCAGTTTGAAAAAATGGGGAACTTGTTTTTCACTGTGAAGGAATTCATTGTAAATGTATTGATCACCTGTGGCTGTGTCTAGCCAGAAAGTTGACCTGCAAAACACTTTCTATGCTCACAAACATGACGTCTCGCTAGGAGAAGACGAGTTTGTTGAATTTGTGAGTGACAAGCAGTAATGAGGAAGCTTCTGTGGATAAGGTTACATACATTTTCTGAGGTGAACACAGCACCTGAGGCTCAGACAGGAAGTTCTTGATAAACTCCTTGCACAGGACAGACACGGAGCAGTTTACTGAGCGGGTCTGCTGTGAAGAGGGGGCCACAGGCCAGAGTGGCTGTTTAAAGAATCTCCTCACATTTCTTGGTGAGAAATCACAAACAATACACAATGACCACAACGATAAACAAATCATCCAAAGAGAGACAAAAAAAACACATAAATAAGACTCACTAAGAGACTCAAAATAACATATATTGAGCAAAGATTTATTACACAAAAAGAGACTGAAAAACTAGTGATGCAATGCAATAAAAAGACACATGATGTTCCCTGATGAAGATTATCGGCTGAATCAAGTCAGAAGTTGTTATCATTACTAATAGTTTATTATATTAAATGTTATGGCTATTTTATTCTCAGCCAAAGATTTGTAAATCAAATTAACCAAAGTTTTCAATTGAAACACGCCTGCTTCCCATTAATGAAAATTAAACAATGTTATTTGTCACAAACCAACTGGATGCGTACCGTATCTTTTGCAGTTTAATGTCATTCTGTCTTTACAAGTGAAATGATAAACTGTCCCTCTGCTGTCATGGATCCTCCTTTGATGGCTGTGTTTCAACACTAGGGGGCAACACACAGCCTCAGATAAAGATGTGCACTATCTCTAACAAAATGACTTTTTGGGCCCCTTTAAAATATCATATGAGGAATGCAAGAGGGATCGAAACAAGCTGGTGCTACAATTGTTTAAAAGATACCTGAAACTCATTTGACATTACTTCAAAAAAGTGTGTTACAGTTTGGGCTTCAATACTCAATTATTACAGCAAGTGACAATGTTTTTACAATGTAATGTTTCTCACCTGGTGGCTTATAATGTATATGTTGTTATCTTAACATTAATCCTCTATATCTGAGTGATACCCCCCCACACACGCACCAAACTATTTTAATCTATGCAAATACTGTACTATGTGTCCTGCAGTGAACACTTCAGGGCCTTTCGGCAATTCTGGCCTGTCTGAGAACCGTGTTGCCTTCAAGTACCTGTCAAATACAGTTCACACACTAGTCCATACTTGAAAGCTTCACTGCTGCACATCAGTATTCTGTGCTCCAGGTTAGCTGGTTTTTATTTGTCCATATTCAGGCACAAATTAGCAGCTAGTTTGATTTGTTTGTTTCTTTGATCAACATTTACATTTTGAAAAAACAACATACACATACAAATCAGCTTTAACCCTCCTGTTGTCTTCTGGTCAAATCTGACCGATTTACTACTTGCATCAATCATAACTTTTTTGTTTTACATTCGATTGCATTAAGGCTTTATGATATCCTTCACAGTAGACATTTGAACATATACAATTGCTGATCACCACTTTCATTGAATTTTGGATGATTTAGTCAACTTTGTAACACCCATGGTGTTCCCGGTCAAAAATGACCGCCATAAAGAAAAGGAATTAGTAACCATCCAGATCAGATAAAAGACACACACAAACACCCACACACATACTCTAGATGTGTCCCCCCCCCCCCTTATGTGCCCACACACACACACACACACACACACACACACACACACACACACACACACACACACACACACACACACACACACACACACACACACACACACACACACACACACACACACACACACACACACACACACACACACACACACACACCAATTTGACACATTTCCCACTCTTATGTGCCCATCCCCCCACATGGATCACACCTGGCACACGCAATACATGTTCAGTGTCTATTCGTTGTATATTTACTGCAGTTTTTCATGTATACCAGTAGTCTGATACAATATTTACAGTTTGAGAGGGTGTTAAATGAAATTTGGTGATGATTAATGGTTTTTGTGTTAATGTAATAACAGTTAAAACAGGACCGGTCAAATTTGACCGCGAACACCAAAGTAAGGGGGGGGGGACGAAGACAATAGGAGGGTTAAAACCCCATGCTCCCCAGCAACTAAATGAAGGATTACATCACAAGTGGTTGACATGCGAAGATAAACTGTTTGGTTTTATTTTGGTATTATCTGCGTTACAATGTTAAAACAGGGACTCTGACCTGGTGGAGTCCAAGGCACCAATGGTTGTTTCACATTTAGCATTTTTTATACTGTCATCTTTAAAGGGGGTTTCATTCAACAAGAGCAGCTTTGGACAATGTGGCACTTTAATATCAAGTAGGTCAGATAAGGTTGTGAATACCATTTCCTAGAAATTAAAAACCCTGGGGCAATTCCAATGTTCAGAGTGTAGCAGTTTGTTGTTGAGGCTTCTTGTTCTGAAATAAAAAGCAACAATAATTTAGATGCAAAGGTGCAAAAAAAGAAGCCATTAAGATAATAATAGCAACACATTTAATTATTCATGTGTATATAGAATTAAACACAAACAATGTTATACTCCAATAAATGAATTGAAAATAACAACAAACTCGATTAAAAAAATTAAATAATAATTAAGTCGATAAAAATGATATAATAAATGAAATAGAATAATAAAGAATCCATAAAAGGCATAACCCAAAATAAAATAAAAACAATAATAATAATAATAATAATAATAATAATAATAATATTCATAATAATACTTATAATAATACTAATAATACAATTAATGATTTAAAAAACCCGCTTTTTTCAGAATGCACATTAACATCACTGGTGGAGATTTAACATTTATATATAAAGATTGCAAATTAAATCAAGTTTAACTTTTACTTTATTGGGGAAATCAGTTTCTATAAGATATTTCTCTCTTTTATGACAGCCTACATTATGGTTGTTGTTATCATCCTTGACGCCTCGCCCCTCCCTCCTAGCTCGTGCATCCTGTCCTCGCATCTCTCCTCATCCTCCACCCCCCCCCCCGCCCTTCCCCCCGGGCTCTTGTTTTCTTTTTTTCACGGTGACTGTGCGGTGTGTTCTGCAGGGACATGCTCTGTCTGTCTGTGAGCTGCTTTTTATTTTAAATTATATTTAAATTTGAACGACTTCCAAGGTCGAGCCTCATGCATCATGACTTTTTAAGTGACCACCATGCAAAAACAACCTCGATCATTATTATAAAGGAAACTCGTCTCCACCGCTGCTCCTCCACCACCTGCCGACGCCTCCCCACCATATGACCGTCTCAAAGGTGAGTTTACTCGGGGTGAAGTCCTGCAGTGAGTCGGTGTTCTGCTCTGTAGCTCCGCAGTGACAGTGTTATCGGTTTGTGTTGCTGACACCCTGACAGCTTTATTCCAGCTTCTCTCTCCCGGCGTGCAGCTCTGCCATGCGGTTGCACAGCCTCCTGTCCCCGGGCAGGAAACACACTCAGGTTTCACGAGTGTGTGTGTGTGTGCTGTTGTGTGTGAATAAGGATAGTTTTGTGGTGGCAGTAATACGGTTAATATGCATGTCTTTCTTATCAAGGTCATACAGACGAACGAGCTTCTTTAGTGGTCGTTTAACTTGCACACGTTTACCCATCAGATTGTGTGTTGTTTTATGAGCAGGTGCACAATAATTGCACACCTGTTTCTGC